GTAGGCGCGTCGAAGAAGCTTGGTCAACGTCTTGACGGCACCACAGTCGTATGCAGCCTTCTGGAGGCGTTCGCTATCAGTGATGAGGCGGGCCAGCGTAGCCGGTGCCCTCTCTAGGATGAGATGCTGGGTCTCATCGAACGAGGTCTGCGACTCAGCGTCGTCCTTGTCATTCTTGGCAATCAAGTCGATGAGGACGGGCACGATGAGCATGCCGAGGCTGTTCTCCCTCCCTTCCTTGACACCTAGGCCTGCTTTGAAGAGTGAAGTAACGATGGTGGCTGCCATGAGTCTCCCGTAGCCGGTCAAGGACCTGGCCTGCAGTATCAGCCAGGGGATGAGAGGGCTCTCGACGTCATCAGATGAGCCGTTTTCCAGGCTCGCTTCCAGGGCAGTGGGTGAGACAAATCTGGGTCCCGGCGTTTGACTCGGAGTTCGTGATTCAAGGCGGTCTGGTGTGTTGACGGAAGACGTGTGGCGGGATTGGGGAGGATTCGGAGCGGCGGAGAAGGGTATAGGCAGTAGATGATCCATGGCCGTCTGGTTCTGCGCTTGAGAGCCGCCCACACCGTTGGTCTCGAATGTAATGCTTGGAAAGACGGCGAGAATGGCCGGGGAGTTGATAAGCCGAGTTGCTCTGTATTTCGAGTCTCCAAGGATCGCCGCTATGGCTCCGAGTACGGGGCCGATCTGGGTTCCTTGCGGAGCTTCCTTTGGAAAAGCTTCGTATAAGCCGTCGCTGTAGGCTTGCGCCTCGGCCCCCGGCACAACATGGCCCTGGCTGACGGCGAAGCTGGCCAAGCGCGATGCGAGCATATCCAAAACGCCGGAATTGACCAGAGCCTGCTGGTGTCGCTCCTCCCTGCAGATGCGAGATATTAAGCTGGCAGCTAGCTCTACCTGGGTCTGCTGCATGTGATTCGATGACGTCGCAGCCAGAATAAGGCATAGGGACTCGAGGTGGTACGGCGACGTGAAGATGGTGTCGGCAAGAGCTTGGATGTCGAGAGGGGACGACGGCGGTGCCAGGGCAGCCGCATCTGCAATGCTGGTGACGGCCTTGAGAGCGGCAACGACGATTTGCGGCGCGTTGGCATTGGGAGATGTACACGCAAGGATCGCAGGGAGTGCTCGGGAGGCGTGGATAGGTGGTAGAAATGGAGGGCCACCTGCAATGGTAGTAAGAAGTCAGCATCTCTTTCTTGGGCAACGGTTGGTAGAGCTGGAACCTAGCAACTTGACATCCAGCAAAGGCAAAAGCGATAGCGCTTGGGACACATACCCTTGGCGAAGCTCGTGATGATCTGCAAGGCTTGTAGCCTCACCTTGTCTTCGTCTGAAAGAGCCCGACGCTCGGAAGGCTGTTGTCTAGCATCCTTATTTGTAGTATTTGCCTTGGCTGTAGGTCGAGCCGACGTCAGAGTCTTGACGACGGGTTCCAGCACGCCCAAGCTTGCCCACGTCTCCTTCTTCTGGTGGTGCCCGACGATTTCGTTCTTGAGAGCTTGCAGAGCTGCCGACTGCTCGGGGCACGTTGTGGCATTCCGCAGCTGGGACAGGATCGGAGAGGTCTGGGGGCGCGCCATGGCGATGAGAGCGCTGAGCAACACAGGGGTATGCTGGGATACGGCGGAGAGAATCGAAGGAGCAAAGTGCCGGAATATGGCCTCGGATGCGTAATCGTGGGATTGAAATTGGGTCGGATGGGCTTGCTATATTTCGCTTTTCCAGCTGGATATGAATAATTGCTAGGGATGGCAACGCCGGGGCAATCGAAAGCACGCAGGAAATGGGAAAAGCTCCGACGGATGCGGCTGAGGGCGCTCAAGTCCAGAGCCTCGTGAGGCGGCACAAGCTTGTCTTGCGCCACCGGGAGGAAAGCGAGGGCCTGATCAGCGGCGACGTGGCCAACGTGGGAGAGGCGGACAGCTGGTGGAAAGGGGCAGAGGATGGACGATAGCAATAGAGACACCGGCGTAAGCAAGTCTGCGATATCAATTCACGGGCAATGCATGGAATAGCAAGGCCAAACATCAGCGTTGCCTTGCCGTCTGACGAGATGTCACGCCTTAGCAAGTCCGACGTCGTGGCACGTGCATCGCGTTATCTTATCGGATCTCTGGTGGGAGGAAATGCATGTAAGAGCAATATGGAGCAATCGGGGTGGCTGCTTTCAATCAATGACGCCGATGCTTGAAGCTGTAGGTGAGAATATCTCTGCGGATGCTTGGGGGCAACTTCTCTTGATAAGTAAAAACTCTGGACCGTAGAAGGACCATGTGAAGAACAAGCACTACCATTTGTACTGAACCACCAATGTTTCGTTCAGGACAGCCTCTGGATTCTCATAACTCTCCTCAAACTTCAACCCCGCCGTCTACATGAGCCCTGCTTTCAGAGTACCCACAAAAAGATGAACACCAGTCCGTAACATTGGAGTCGATCATGGCCAATCAGTGGACGCCCTGGAACAAAAAGAAGAAGCACTTCTTCTAGAAGCCTGGCAAAGCCTGGGATTGTCAGATGGCGCATCTTCTCTGCTGGGTTTCGCCCCTCCACTGTTCTGCCCGCTCCAGATTGATTCCCCCTCAAGTTTGTCTCTGCGAAGCTCTTGGTTGCAGATGAGGTACCCCCGACACGGCTTTGGGTTGTCGCCATTCAACGAGCAACGCATGGCGCACGCTTCTCACCGGTACATCATCTCGTCTCGACTCTACGGAGTAGCACAGCAAAAGAGCGACATGCTGTTCATGCACGAGGCCGACACTTCCAGTTACTACCTTAGGTATTGTGTACATTGATCCAGTGACATTCCGCTGCAGCGTCGCCAAAGAGAATCTATCTATTCTACGAAACAGTTGCATGAAGGACGACGACGATTTTCCACTCTCTTTCTTCCTTCACATCACTCTCAAGTCTGTTTGTAGCCTTACCTCATCACCACTCTGCAGTCCGTCAGCCTCCTTTCCCTGCAGACACGAAACTCGATGGACCGACGTCTAAGTGGGCAAGCCTGTTGCTACCTAGGAAAGGGACCCCGGATCATCCGCTCCGATAGCCGGGCCTCGAGCTGTCGAGTCTCGTCGCTCTCGAATTGCGTGTTCAATGCTCGATTAGACGTAGAAATTTCTGCGTGCGACGGTTGTGGCGCTTCCGCCTCTGCCTTCATCGCTGGAATTAATAGTTTGTAGTAAAGTAGAGAAATCGAGCGCTGTAGTGGCACCGTGGGATCTGCAGAACGTCGGTTACAAGCAAGAGGAATGGCGATACCCGGACTCTTCGCTTCATGGTAGGATACTACTCTTCTTACCTTTATGATATTGCTTTGTTCCCTTTCTCCATATCTCGTACGGAGTACCGCTACATCATTCACCTTGTCCGGAGTGCGTCTTCGTAACCCGTTGGCAAAAACTGCTGATACTAGATAATGCTTCGAAATACGAGCTACAGCAAGCCTGGTGATCTTAATCAATAGAGCAGACGAGTTCCCAACCCCCTGCCAATTGTCCGTGAGACGAAGTACTCCGCACCACAAGTTCACAAAAGAACAGCGGCGGTTAATGCCAGACATTGTCTGAAAGGAAATGCCCGTCTAGGCCTCGGACCCAGGCCGCGAACGAATCACCGGGCTTCGTTGCGCCACGGGCCGGCAACTATAGGTGCTCATTGCACGACGGCCCTGCGTCAGGACAAGACAAAAGTCGACATGTCATCATTTTGTTTCCATTCCATCAGTTGTCTTTGCCGTTTTCTCGCTGGCGTGGTCCGGGGTCCCGTCTGGGGTATTGTGATGAAACGGAGCTTCGCCTGGAAGAGTTGCTCGCCATTGTGGTGAGAGTCCACTTGTGATGAGATCAATGCCCTTTTCGAGTAGCGGACTGAATAATCAGTACGTATAATATGAGATACATAAAGAGAAGCGTTCTATTAGATGACGGAGAGGGGAAGCGGGATTGAAAAGGAAAGTTAACGTGCTCTTCGTTGAAGCTGCTTTTACGAGTATTTCCATGGGATGTTGTACATGATGATAAGTGGATGGTGAGGTTGGTGTTGCATTCAGTGGACGTCGATCACCCCTCCGAACAGCAAGCAGCAGAAGACACCGGGAAGCGGTTGATGACTGCCTCCCAGCTTGTTGTTTCTCTTCTCATACTCTCTGCGCCCTGTTCCCACTCACAGCATGTAGTCCTTGTACTTCTGTGTCATGCCTCTCCAGCCCCCAAACCGAATCACAGCGCTTGTACCTGGGACTTTGACTGGTCACTGATCCACCTGCAGCGATTATCGGAATCCGTCTCACTGCTTGAATCTGGCTGAAGTTGTCTCGAATCTGGATTGTCCAAATTTCACGAAGACACAATATCCCCAGTCAGACAAGGTATTACAGTGCATATTGCGTCGCTTTCGCCTTAAACAGCAGCAACACCTCATACTTTATTCTCCACCAGACACAAAGTCTCGCCCCCAAGATTTGCAAGGCAAAAAGAGAGGAAAAGAACCGGGAGAAAAAAAGGGCGCTAGTCCGCCTTGGTCGTGCCGGTTCGCGTCCGTCCCGCCGATTGAATCCTTTGGTCTGCCAACCCATTTTAGACCTCGATTATTACCACCATCAGCTTTTTTGGCTCGAGGCGCCGATTTGGCTCGGTGAGCATTTCGGGTTCGCTCCAAAGCAACGACGAGATCTGGCTGTTCCACGTTTTTCGAGATTGTCTCACCTGCATTGCCAGCAGCCGCTGCTCGGCCGCCTACCGCCGGCTGTTCCGACTCAGGACGATTCATGGCCAGTTGATGCCACTCGATACCCGGCCGGCGTCTTTTTCTTTTTCAACTCCTCCTTCTGCCTCCAACAATTGGCCCCCATCTGCGCCCTGTCCCCGTCTGCCTCGGCCCTCGAAAACGCAAAGCAAGGAGAACGAGAACGATAACGGGGGAAAGGGGAACGAAGCACACCGACCAGGGAATCGAGAGGCTTGCGCTCCGATGATGCGCCGCAGGAGACCATGCTGAAGACATCCCCCATTCTCTCCCCCTCCAGCGCCTCCCCCTCCAGCTTCCGCAATGCCTCGCGATCCTCGCAGGACTCCGTCTCCTCCCACCCGTCCCAGCTGCCGTCCATGAGCCCGAAGCCCTCGTATGTGCGCCGCCTCTCCTCGCAGTCGACAACGACACCCTCTGCCACTGCCTCCTCGTCGGCCCTCTCGCCGGGCCGTTCTCGTCGCACCGCAGCCTCTCACAGCGATATCCGCACTCCCTCTCGCGCCTCGCTGTCCACGTCTTCGTCTCCCTCGGCGCCGCCCACGACAACGACGACCAAGATGATCGTGACCACAACGACCAATATGGGCATCAACGACGAGACGCAGCATCCTGGTCGGCACTCGCCCGCTCAGGCCCAGCTCTACAACGCTCTCTCGCCCAACAAGCGTCGACTCGCCGCTGCCTCAGCCACTCCAGATGTTTCTTCAGCGCCCCCGGCGGTAGCCACAGGCTCGGCTGCCCCTCAGCCGGCCGCATCACAGCCGGCCGCGGCCCAGCAGGCGGCCAAACGAGCCAAGCCCGAGGAACGACCTCCCATTATCTTGCCTCAGAAATACGAGCACTGTCCGGTAGAGCACATGGTCGAGCTCATCGCGCACATGCTGGGAGAGCTGATTGCCACTAATGATGCAATTCGCATATCGAGCGGTGGCCTGACGCGATTTCACTCTAGGTAAGCTTGCATTCTCGAGATTCTGTTCGTTTTATCTGGCCATAACTGACTCGACTTTGCGCACAGAACGCCCCCTGGCATATCGGTCAGAGACTATCTCCATCGCCTGGCCCGACATGCCACCCTCATACCACCCCTTCTCCTGGCCATGGTCTACTACATCGACAGGCTCTGCGCCCTGTACCCAGAATTCACCATAAACACCCTCACCGTCCATCGATTCCTCATCACCGCTGCCACCGTGGCCGCAAAGGGCCTTTCCGACTCCTTTTGGAACAACACCACCTATGCACGGGTGGGTGGTGTGCGTGTGGCTGAGCTACGGCTTCTCGAGCTCGAGTTTCTCTACAGGGTCGATTGGAGAATCGTGCCAAACCCGGAGATTCTGGTAGCTTACTACCAAGGTCTAGTGCAGAGATGTCCTGGATACGAGCTCGAGTCGGATGGATCGAGCGAGAACGACGACGATGAGATTGATGACGACGACGAGGACGAAGATGACGAGGAAATTGTTGCGCGGCAGTAGACATTCCGAGGGGCCATCGAATAGATGTGCTTTCGGCAACGCTGTCCCCTAGCAGAGCCGTGCCGATGGACGATGCTGAGAAAGCGGCCTTATATCATTGATACCCATCTTTTCCCCCACAGCACCTTTATACTTGCGTTACCTTCTTCTCTTTTCGGTCAGCTGTCGTCTCATCGGTCGTCTCCTGCTTTTGAACACCTAGCCTCTCGCATCGCCCGCCCAAAGCAGCCGTCACCGGCTTATCCTCGTGGGTGAGGAGTTCGGTCAGAACCAGCGTTTTACAGGTTTATACTCTACAATCATCTCCTTTGTCTCACATTTACACGCATTACGGAAAGGGGAGAGGGGCATATTGGCGTTATACGGGTGTATCTGTGCCATTTTCGGTTGTGTTTTTGTGCGTTGGATAAGTGTCCGGCAGGTTGGGGATTGTTGGTATCCAGGAAGAGGATGGGTATTGTGTTGCCCGTGTATATATATATATATGAATGGAATACTATTGACTTTACTTTGACGTGTGAGAGTGCTGAATGACTAGTACATCGGCTCGTGTCCATATATAATACATATACAGGCGAGTCATCTAAAGGGCTGGGTTGAGTAGTCATTGGCGCTGGCCGACTGGTTGTAGGTAATATCAGGATGCTATGTTGTTATGGCGATATAGCAAAGATATACTGCCTGATTCGTGTATAACTACTCTCATGCTCACTAAGACGACTTATGCAATTTGTCTCCATTTTCTCCTTATCCGCAGACACACGCCGTTCATCGTGTACATAGGTATGAATGGAATAGTACCTACCTACGCGCGCCATAGGTGTTTCTGATAATAGTCGACTCTTCTCGTCATGGGTCCCACAAGCCTGTTACCTGCTATATCACGATCACAGAAGCTAAAAGAACTATCAACACATTGTAACACGCCCAAATCCCATGTTACAAGGGCCCATGCCATGACCAGAAACAGCTGTGGCGCGAGATGGTACTTGTTTTCAAATGTGAGAGTACGTGCTTGATACAGGCTCCAGGCGCTACTTTGAAGGAATGACTTTTGCTTTCTGCTAAATACTACCTTAGGTGCCGGTAGCATCCATAACAATCTGAATCCAGCAAGCAAGGAAAAGGAGAAACAAAAGGAAGTGCAATCGTCGTCCCTTAAGTCCCAGTGATTTCAAGGCTCCTTAACAAGCGCTGTCGACGATCAGCCTCCTCTGAAGAGAATAGTCGATGAAAAGAGCGGCCATGACGTAAATATCGGTGACGATGGGCAGAAGTCGAACCAAAACGATTGCCGGATCCCGAGTGATTCTCGCAAGAGGAAGAAGCGTGAAGAGGGCCGCCATGACGATGCGAGGCAGGAACTGAGTTTTGCTTCGAGGCCGGTTGTTGAAGACGTTGAATATACAGCTCCAGTGCAAGCAGGTCAGGAGGGCAAGCAAAAGCAGACTTGTTTCACACCGAGTTGGGTGCTTGACGGCTGGCAGAAAGTAGCTGACTCCGTTTGAGTCTGCTGCGGCGTCGCACGTCTGGGCTTGCGTGTTGTTGTTGAGCTGCGCGGCGATGAAATTCAGCGCGGCCGTCAAGCCACATGCTGCCAGAGCGTGGCATATGGAAGCGTTACATGGTGTCTCCGCACCATGAATTGCAGCACAGTGAACGCTGATGTCTGTCTTCTCCGTCTGCATACAGGAGACGTTGCATCCAGTTCGAATCGGCAAAGGAAATATAAGTCTAGCTGGGAGTTTTTATGGGATTGTGATTTGGCGCTGAGATTGCCAACTGACAAGCACCATGATACGTGCTAGGGCATGTATTTAAACCTGTTGCTTGGACGCGCCCGGCGGTCGTCAAGGTAAAGAGAAGCTGAACCGCGGCTCGCTTGCCCTGAAGGCAAGGCATCCTTCACTCGCGACTCTGCAGAAGGATCACCGAAACCTCACTCGACCCGGCCAATTGCGTTCAACCACGCGTATGCAGACACGCAACGCAGCACAGCCCGGAGACCTCATTGCCTTTTCTGACCTTGTGATTGCTCGAGAAGCCAGGACGATTGCCACGCGCGATCAATTGCTCCCTCAAATTTGGCGCCTCTTCTATATCGTGCCAAGGCAGTCGCTATGTCTTCCCATTATCAGCCCAACAAAGTGCCTTGGGACATCCTTTCTGACGTATGAGAACCAATTGATAGGCTCAGAATAGTCTTGAAGCTCGGCGCCCCGAAGTTGAAAGAGATTAAAGAGGCGAGGGTATGGGCTGACTCCCTGTAGAGAAACACTAGAATATTCTCGCCTCGCTTGTTCCAAGGCAAAAGGCACCTAGGTGTAAGAACACAACTACCTGGGGTTGGCTGCCGAACCCTCGTATGCCTCACGAGACTTGGAGCCTCGGGTTCGTACTTGATCGCTATATCCCCAGAGTATGGCGGGCCGAATATAGAGTGGCCTTTCTTCCCTCTCTCGCGCACTCCTTACTCCATGGTGCCAACCACTCGGGCAAGGATGGGAGAATGGGTGTTGCAAGCCAACATGTGTCTGTCAGTACTGGTCCTCCTGCCCGGGAGCCAGCAGCATTTGTACTCATGGGCTCCCATAGCAACCTCAGGGTGCGTCTCTCCTCAACCACTTCCTCTCTCACGTCTCATGTCCCGTGGTACTTACATCGAAATAGGCTTCTGCTCTCCTGGGGTTTGACGAGCTTCTCTCTCGTCTTTACTCACCATCGATATCTTTTGGAGTAAGCTAAGAGTCAATGGGATTTCATCTACAGCCTGGATTTGACTGACCGTGCCCGTGTAGGAGTCCCCGCCAGATGGTCCTATATCCCCTACAGATATGGCTCGCCTTTACATTTGCGCTACAGTCACCACTCGCAGAGGCCGTCCTACTTCTCCCGATATCTACAACGGCCGCTATGATATATTTAACATCACATCAAGGCAGCCAGAGACTCGATCTACGACTGCTCCCTCCGCCAATTCCTGGACCGCGATGAGATAGAAATGCGACTTTGAGTTCACAACAGGCCAGCCTTTACTCAAGGAATATACAGCTAAGAGGCTGAGGAGGGATGCTCAGCTGTCTGAACATGGGCCTGCTAAGAGCCTACCGCAACCTCGCCGCACACGTTCTATCGTGGCATCAATGGGAGACCACAAATCGCATGTATATAGTTGTGGTGTTCCAAGCGGTCAGCTGGGAATATATGATATATTGTCAGCTACAATCTAGACCATCCTTGATTCGTTGGATAAGAGTCCCAAGTGAACTTTCAGGCACTCGCCGTACAGTTCAGAAAACGCGGCAGAATACCTCGAGACGAGGTGCACCCCAGCGTCTATAATTGACCCTCTAGAGAGAGCATATTCCATGGCAGTTGAACTACTTCGTAAGGAAGACCTTAAGGTCGTCACATTTCATACCGTGTCCTTTTCATTATGCCCATCGAGTGTGAATCAAAAGGTAGATAACCAAAATATCCTAGAACACGCTCGCTATAGACGTTAAACCATCTACCAAAAACAATTCGAAGAGCCTCAATAGGGGCTATGTATGTATGTATGCAAGGCTACATGTATATACCATACAAATTTTTTAATGTACTTTTCTAACATCTTCTTACATGTATCTAACAAAGCCAACAAAAGGACTGACCGCATCCTGAGGCACAGCGCCCAGCAAGTCAATTCTCATCCGATGCAAACCAAATACAGACGAATTCAAGCGCCATGTATGAACCGGTAAAAGATTTCTGAACAAACATGAGACCGATAGGAATAGGAAAAAAAAGAATAGGAGAAGTATAATAGCTTTTAACGTATGGGGCCACATGGCTCTATGCAGGAGACCCAGGCAATGGCATCGCTATGCAGTATCGTAATGTTGAGATCCAGAATCGTCATCTTCTATCATTTGGTAAGAGGGTGGTTATGAAGGGAGAAGCGACACGGCTCCTGTAGTGTGGAGGCCTAGTGCGTTGGTGGACATTGGTAGATGGGTGGCGCGGTTCGCCATCGTAGGAAAGGGATCTCGAATGGACGGTATCCCTGGCATCTCGCCAGCTCGACTCTGAGCCCTGATAGGCTAGCGATGCCTGGTACGAATGCCTTCACCAGTGACGGTGGCGACAAAAAGTCGTTTCGAAAATAGAGACAGAGGCGGTGGGCGTGCGGTTTAGATGTCTCGGCATAAAGGTCTCTCTGGCCGACCTTTGGGAACTGCCACAGGCTCAACTGGTACTTTTTCCCCATCTGCGTCCCATGGTCAAACCGATGAGGAGGGAAATAATCTCCAGTTGATACAAGTCCCCCACCACAAAGTCCTCTGGAAGGGATCGCGGCTGCATTCCCCAACAAGCCCAATATGGTGGCAGGCTTGGGTCTGAACAAGGGACTTTGGGCTCGGCGCTCATTGATCGAAAGCGAACAACCGGATAGCATTCTGGTCTAGCCGCATGTAAGTGATTTCCATCGTGCCGTACGCAGCTGACTTAGTGACATGTAGAAGGTGTACATAAAGACCAAGGTAGCGTGAAGATGTGGCAGGATATTTGCGTTTCCAAACAGTCCGCGTATAATGAGCTGAAGAGCTTCAAGGCATTTGGTCGACGACATGGTGTAATAAAAGAGCTGCTGAAGAGCGTTCGGCCGAGTCAATATAGCAAGATGGTGATACAGCCGCCTGGTAGTTGGGACCTTATCCGATAGTACCAGCATCGAGAGTCACCAGTCCAGGTTTTCCCGACCGCGGATATCATCATCCTCAATGGCCATTCGGTATCTGGAAAGATCTCCCAGGCACTCGCTCCATGCATCTTCAAAGGCGGGCACTGTCTCGTAGAGGAGAGCCATCATATGGTAAGCCAGGTAGATAACGGCAAGCATATGCTCCATCGGAGCAGGCAGGCCTTGTCGAAGTAGCTCAAGAAAAGAATGAATGCCGTGTCGCCACATTCGTGCGGGCATCGCATACTTGGGTGCCAACCGCCGCAGTGCGGGAGTTGCGGTAGGATGCTGGCTGGCTAAGAAAAAGTCGTGGTGCTCGTGAAGCAGAGTGCGATGGAGCGTTATCAGCGCATTCCATGGGATCTGTGCGTTATCAACCTCGATACACTTGCTTTCAACCATGACCAAACCAGCATATATGCCCTTGGCCTGGCCGCTAGAAAGGTGTTGGCCAGTTGAATGCAATACCTGGCCGTGATTCGTTTGTTGCAATGCAATTTCGACTCCAGCAATACCCTCGCAACGGCCAAGTTTGCATTTCGTCGTCGGAGCTCTTGCGGGTAAAAAGGGACGATACCTTGGCTGTTGTCACTGATTCTGCGCATCCGGCAGCATGATTACTGGGCGAAACCGCCATCGGCGCCGTCCAGGAACGGGAATGGGTAGTCCCAGATTGTCGTCGTCGGGAGCTCCATCGTTCCTCTGCGCCGCCAAAAAGATCATGGCGGCTGTTGTGGCCAACGGTAGAAGTAAGATCGCCTCTGCGAGCGAAGTCTGCAGCATCATTACGAATGGCAACCAAACTTGCAGTGGATAGAGTATCATTCGTTGAGGGTTTCTGAAACTATCAGTGAGCGGTCCATTTCTGTCTCTACATCACTCAGTATAGCTTCAGACAACGCAAAGAGACATACTCTAGAAGATATCGCTTGTGAAGAAAGGCGAGGAACACCCCCGTCAGGCCCCAAGAAGCCAGGATTCTGTTTTCACGCGAGACCATAAGCACAAATGGTTGATGGAGCAAAGAAGGACGAGGCAATGATGACTTACGCAAACGTTGCCGCCGGTGCCCAGGAGAAATGGCTCTGCTGGCTTCCCGGCAGAAGAATCAATGCTGAGAGGGAAATGTTGATCTGCAGTAGCCATTGCTTAAATACCATCTCAGAATTTGGTGGAGATTTTCTGTTCTGAATGCTATGTTGAGGCTTGAAGATTGAGGCCACGCGATGTTACGGGGGAGAGGGTGGTTGATGAGGGATCACAGAAGTGAAGCAGGCTATGCTACTTCTTGGAACAAATGGTAAGGTGAAGCATGCCAGGTTGAGGGTTCAGTGCTATGGGTAAAGCCGCTTGATGTATACATAAACAAAAGGATGAGTGAACAGAGAAGATGCAAGATCGGAGAAGGGGGCGCTCTTCTTCGAGCGAGGAAGTTCAAAATAGTTGACAGAGAGAAAGAAGCAAGAAGTGGGTAGATTGGGGACTTGTTATGGCAAGTTATCGAGATTGGAGGCTGTCGTGCGCACACATCAAGTTTGGGGGCGGAGAGATAGGGAGGGTGTGTGTGTCGAAAGGGTCGGGTTTCCCAAAGAAGTTCGTCTTACCTGGGGTTCCTAGCCTCCTCGAATGATTTGAGAAGAATTGCACGCCTTAATAAACCAAAGTGAGAGCCTCACTGCGTGGTTCGCGGCGAGGTGCAATGCCTTGGATAGCGTAAGGCAACCCGACAAGGCGTGGTGGCTGAGACGGGAGGGTGTTTGCACTCCCTTCCCTGGTTGGATCCAATGATACTCGCAGGCGGAAAGTGAGGGGTATTCTGACCAGGTGCTTCGAGAATCTCTCAATTGCTTTGTTTCCATAGAGGCTCAGCAATGAAGGACCATTTTATTAGCTGTTTTCTTCTTTTCTCGCCGCGTTCAATGCACGTTACCGACTCCTTTCCTCAGACACTGCCTGTCATCTCTTGAGCGAATCGACCTAGAGCCTCAAGATATCTAAACATCCTAATACGCCATCGAAGCCTATGTTGGAACGTCATGAACCAGAAATTTCGTACGCAGCGGCCACAAAGAGCGACCAAAGCATCGAGGCCTCACAAACCTACGCGACAGCTCAACAGACGAGCGCTCTTGGCGATAGCAGATATCCTCTATGCCACACGTTGGCGGCTTGGGGGTTGACGGCGACTCTGAATATCATCCCAGAGCAGTTCAGCAAGGACTCCAAGGATGAGGAGGGTTGGAAGATATATCCAGTAGGAGAAAAAGAACTTTCAATGTCGCAGAATGTCGCTCTGACAGCTGATATGACGATAGACGTGTAAACACGGAACGCCGCGAGACCAGAGGCATTCGTTCTTGTTTCAGGATAGACAATGCTCTTGCGAACTGCTTCTGTTGCTGATAGCAGCGACTACCGTGATACACTGGAGCTTCGTGCTTCACCTGTTCAGCCGGCCGAGATGGAGGGATAAATATCTGTCGCAGACTTTGACGACAACATTCGCCGCTCTTCTTCCGCTTGCACTGATTATCCAAGACCCAGCCACAGTCTTCCTTCGCATTCTCCCCACCGTCATAGATGCGTGCGCCTCTGCGTGCCTCGCCTTGGATTATTTTCGTGATAGGTCATACCGGGGCACTTGACGACATTGGACCACGGTTGAATCTTGCGATGTCGAGAAGGCTCGCAGTGGAATGGGGTTAAATGTACTCGGCAAGAGTTTCGTGGTGTTGCAATGTCTTCATTTCTTCCGTAGGGATATATATCAAGGCTTTTTTGTTCCTTCATTTCCATCAACTGCCGACATAACTCATCGGAGCTTCGTATGATCAGACAGCATCAAATTAAGATATTGTCACCGACAAGACCAGCGTATCAGCAGGATGCTCGCCTGCCGTGAGATGCGCCAGGACACACGCTAGTAGCCTGCCCAAGGGCCACATATTTGTGCCGCAGTAGATTTCGGTTTACGAGGTATTTCTTCCAACGGCCACACTTGTTTGGCCACTGGCAACGACCAAGAACAACCTCGGCAGTACTGGCGCGGAGAGTATCCAACTTTAGTGAAAAATGCTGGTTTGGTCAATAACTGTCCGTACGAAGTACTGATTCCAAAGTTGCTTCTGGAGGCACATGGCTGACGTTCTAACTCCGCCTCTAAAAGAGGCAGCCTTCCTGTATATGCAGAGCACGGGAGAGAATCCTAGAGCCGAGAGCGGATAACCAGTAAAACGGCTGTCTCATCTCGCGCGTCGGCTCGATAATGAACGACACGTCATTTGGTCCGCATTATTGGCTCTGCTCTGACCCAGCTTGGCAGAAATACAGCCGCCTATTCCAGCTGAGAGGGTGTGCGTGAATGTAGCCACTTGGCAGGATGACGCGACAGAGAGGCCGCGACCCATTTACCCCATGATCATAGCACTTAGGGGGTCTTTGCCCCTGCAAGGAAGCGGTAGACACGGGACGTTGGCAGCCCCGTCGGCGTTGTGGCGGCGTGTTGGATATGGTCGTGATGACCGTTTGTTTGTCGGCGTCTGCTCATCGAAGTTGTCGAAGCAGCCCTAGAGAGCTTAGAACCTTCTGCAGGCGAACCATTTCAGCTAGGGGCACGGAGGGGGTTTCGTCTGAAAGGTTGCCTTTTTATCCCTGCCTTGCCGTGATCCATGGTTCGCAATTGGAGCTACCTGGACAGTTATTAGCCAGATGCCTTTAGTGACATTGAGTAGTAGTAGAAAATTAAGGCTGCCTTGGAGAATTCAAGATTGTCTGTTTGAGATCTAGAGGTATGACGTCCCCAGAGCTTTGGAGCCACAGCACGTGCCGGCGAAACCCACCGCTCCAGAGGCCGTCTGTCCGTATTCGGCACAGAGCTTATCCCAGTACCTTGCAATTGCTCCACCACAGTTCGACTGCCTTATCGCAATCGAGGCCAGGTAACGACACCTGCTTGACCTCTTCCTGAGCCAAACCAGACACAGCTTTCGAAGCTCATCTCGCAGCTTTTCTTTCCATTGCGCGGGTAAGATGCGCGTCCTCGCTCTCTTCTCGGCCCTGTGCGCCGCAGCTCTCGTCCACGCCGATTTCCACACCGCGCAAATCTACATCCAGCCCGTCGAAACCCCAGAGCCGCCCAGCCTCCTCGCCGAGGTTGCCTACGATCCCAGCAACGGCGCAGCGTCGTCCACCATCTCCTACGAGGCACCTGAGATTCCAGAGTCTGCACAGCTAGTCCGCGTGGGCCTGTACGACACAAAGTCGTCGCGGTGGATATCGGGCACGACGGTTGCCTCGGTGGACAACTTTGACAAGGGATACTCGCCCAACCTGATCCTGTCGGTCGATGCGCATGGCGAGCTGCTGAGTGCTTCCCTCAAGGGAGTGAGGATTGATGCGGGTCAGACGAGGGACTTTGGGCCGCAAGTTGTGGTGCTGCCGGCGCTCAAGGGCAAGCAGCCTGAGCTGAACAAGCCGGTTGTTCTGTCACCAGAGGGGAAGAAGGTGGAGGAGGAGGAGAAGACGATTCTTCAGAAGTACGTTGCGTGTTGCCTATTCGAGACTGTTCATGGTGCTAACATCACGCAGGTATTGGTGGTTGATTGGTATTGTAGTGTTCCTGGCAATGAGCGGAGGGGGCAGCGAGAAATAAGAGTCGAAAATATACGCGCACGTTTCTACAATGCGATCAAGACATTTCATGATGAACGGGCCATTGACAGGGGCTGAGGTGTCGCAGTTGCCTCGGTGATACTGGCTCTGCTGCGTCTGTGTGTTTGTCATGATGCCACTATGTTGCTACGCAATACCCCAAACAAGTTCCACTGGCTGCCTGTAATGCATCTGCTCTTTTCCCCTCCTATTGCACTGCCATTCCTCCCCAGTACACAAATCATCAGCAGCCATGCCAGCAATTCATCTTACTCGTGAAGCTGTTCACGCCGCCTGCCCGCCCTCGTTCTCCGGTCCTATGGTCATGTCTGAGATCGAAACACGTGACTGCGAGATACGTACACCTACAAATCTCGATTTGCGCTAGGCCTCAACTGGCCTAGCCCTGTTGTTGCCTCTCCAGGTCCTCGCCGTGCAATTGGCGAGTGCCTTCCAACCTAAAAGAGCTTGAAGCACTGTTCGATCCACCTCAAGCTCACCCGCCCTACTTATACCTTACCAAAACACCGACCCTTCACTCGCCTCAAGAGCAGCTTGTCCCTCGATCAATCTCTACACTTTCACCTCACACAATCACTCATCAGCAACCTACTCGTGCCGAAAAATGTCTGACGAGACCGGAGTCACCAACCCTCACACTGAGGAGACCTTTGCTGAGAGCAAGGGCAAGGGCAAGGCCGCTCAGGACGATGTTCACCAGGACACCGCCATGGATCAGGATGATGAGGACGACGAGGACGAGGACGAGGATGACGATGAGGAGGTAAGTCAAAGATCAGTTCCTCTTGATGATGCATCGTCAGAATACTGATCCGTCCACGATAGGTTGCCGAACCAGGTAAATTTGCACCACCCTCTGCCATGTCTACTACCAGGCAAGCCATTGGGTCTCTAACCACTTGACACAGATGAGGACGGCCTCGAGGAGATTGACCTGAACAACATTGTTGAGGGAGGACGCCGCACCCGTGGTGCCAAGATTGACTACGCCAGAGCCGCTGAGCAGACCCCCATGGAGGACGACGATGAGGACGAGGACGACGACGACTTCCAGCCCACCCACGAGGATACCGAGATGGATGGCTAAGCAAGTGCGCCCCTGCGCCCCTACCACCTTTGCTACCATTGGATGCCCGACAACTCTCCCATGGTAACTTGAATTTACCAATGCTTTCACGATGCGGGTGACCGGGGGGCTGGGCATCTTTCGAGCGGGATCTGAGTGTATTGGCTGAGGGCCATGTAACGACGAAAAAGTCTCTGTTTGCTATTTAGCCGGGCGTTTATCTGCCATGCTGCTTCGAAGGAGAGCAGAGATAGCCAAAATTTGCACACGCCGTATTAAGGCCATGCATACTGATGCTGTTCGTCCGCAGTCGTGTTCTTGGGGCCTTGTTTGTTTGTCCCGCCATCCCCACACTCGAGTGAATGGCCCATGCACCTGTGTCGGGCTCCCACGTATCTACATACCCTGGATTCCCAGCTGAAGATACCCGAATTCGATGATGTGCGACAGCCGATTGCTGCGCAGGACACCTTTGTCATCTCTGTATTTGAATGACTGACTGTCTCTCTCTTCATTGGTGTTCTACAGCAATACAGTTTGTGCACACTTTTACTTGAAGCCACCGGTTCTTTTTGTTTGGTTCAGCCGCCACCAACTAGCCCGGTACGTACTCCCCAAGGCACTCGCTCCCCCTAACCTCCAAAAAGTCACTAACGCCACTCACTCTTGACTGTCACGGTCAAGACCGACCACCTAAGCCATAAAAAATGCTGCCTTCAATGAAATAGTTGTCCCGACTTGCTCACAGGGGGGCTCTGCATTCTTCTTCTTGAAACAAACATTCCATAGTCTTGCTTTCTCTGTTCTCTTCGTTCTACAGGCTTCATTTACGCGCGCGCCAGCTCATTCGTTTCCTCGTTCCGTGGGCTGCGCGATTCCTGCTTCTTTCTTCCCCTTCCAGTGTCATCATGTCGCAAAGGTGCGTTTCCATGTCCCCGAATATCACAGCGTACCCTATTCGAAGCCTCATTTGCAGAGGCGGCTTTCACGATTGCGCGCGCGCGCTCCCAACGCCTCTCCCATCGTCGCCTTCCTCCCCGCCGGGCAATCCAGCAAGACGAGAGACCACACAGCTAACCACTTCCACCGCAGATTCGGAACCTCGTCCCTCCACCAGCGCGACTCCCGCAGCGTCCTCTTCGCCGGCTACACGGGTGACCAGTCACAGCAGCGCGGCCGGCCCAGCCCGTCGCCCTCTCCCGGGGTCGGCGTAGGGGGAGGCTATGGCTACAGCAGCTACGGAGGAGGCTACTCCCCCTCGATGATGGGCAATGGCTACGGCGACGCGGGGAGCCCGTCGCATGCGTACCGGACCGCGACGCCCAACAAGAAGGGGCAGTACAGCGACGCGGTGCTCAACGAGTTGGAGAGCCAGAACGACGAGCAGGTGTCGGGCATCCTGGGCAAAGTCAAGGTTCTGAAAGACGTACGTCAAGCGCGCGCACGCTTTCTCTTCCCATCAAGTCCCCCCTACCCAAAATCATCCTCCCCTCCCTCCTCTCAAGGGGGTTTCTGTTAAGAGAACAAAAAGGCGGAGACAGAGATCAAGTTGGTTAACACGAAAGCGGCGCAGATGACGGTGGCCATTGGCGACGAAATTCGCGAATCCTCCGCCCTCGCCGAGAAGATGAACGACACGTTCGACTCGACGCGCGTGCGCCTCCGCGGCACCATGAACCGCATGCTCATCATGGCCCAGCGCAGCGGCATCAGCTGGAAGTGGTGGCTGCTCTTCTTCCTCGCCGTCGCCGCCCTCTTCATATACGTCTGGCTGTTTTAAGAAAACATTGCTGCGGGATGCCCCTATTCGCCGGCTGATTCCCTCCTTTCTCCTTCCGACTTGTCCTTCTTACGAGGAGATATGATAGACTGGGTTCTCTATTATTTGATTCCGCCATGTTTATACTTCCCCACCTTCGCGTCCTCCGCAAACCGACGCTCTTCTTCTATCTTTCTTTCTTAACGACCCATGATTCTTGGCTGGTGGCTACGGCGTGCTTCTTGGCTTCCAAAAATCAGAGAGATATGCATCTTGGGGCTGGCGTTTTGGGTGTCTGTTGTTGCTGCTCCTCGGTTCTTTTCGGGCCCCCCCGTTTCTCCCCTTCAAATCGAATGGATACATGGGCTGCAATGGTGTAGAGGGGGCCAGGAGATTCTGGCTGCGAGGAAGAAGAAAAGCGAGTATTGCTGGTTTTTGTTTCTTTGATATCAGCTCAAGTTCTCTATATTATTTTTAATATTACCACCGGGCGCTTGCCTGTCATATCTTCACATTTGAATCCCTAAGAAAGTTTGTTTCTCTTCAGTCTACTCGCTTGGCTTGATAGTGCCAATGCACCAAAACCAGCAAAACTTTCCTTATAATCTATTTTGCTCTATGCCTTCTTCGAGGCTCTTGTAAAAAGGGGGTATCTAAGCCTATACTGATGTCTATTTTCCCTCTCTCCCACACACCACCACCACAAAAGGAAGAGAGAGCATTAAAAACGAAAAAAGAATGAAAAACACTAAGAATTCTACTTCCGCTGGCCCGCCCTCCTCCTCGTCGTCACAGCAGGACTGCTCTCCATCATGGCCATCAAGCTGCTCTCGTCCTGCGAAAGCAACCCGCTCAGGTCCATGCTTGCGCGGGGGCCAGAGGGGGGGAAGCCCGCGTGCCGCGGCATCGTGGGGGACTGAGGGGTCCCGAGGGGCGCAGCACGCGACGGCATGAAGCTGAGGTCGTGCGTGTCCGTCGTGTCTCCCTCTCCCTCTTCCCCCTCATCGTCGTCGTCGTCGTCGTCGTCTTGCTCGTGGACGTTGACGCTGCTGCTGACTTCGGCCTCGGAATCGGTATGCTCGTACCCGCCGTGGTCGTCGGCCTCGGGGATGTCGTCGTCGAGGTCGGCATCCATGTCGCCGGCTGTGCCATCGTCCAGCGTGTTGTCGTAGGCGAAATCGTCCTCGTCGAGCATCTGCTCGCGGTCCTCGTCTTCCAGATCCTCGTCGCCGCCGTACATGCTGCCGCCCGCTTCTGGGTCTCCGCGGATAAGGGCTTCCCGGAAGGCGTCGTCCGTCATGCGCATGCGCGCCGCCACCAGGCCGTGCTGTCTTTCCTCCCGTAGAGCTTCTTCGTCGGCTTCCTCTTCTCGCACTGCCTCTTCGTCGTCGTCGTCATCTTCGTTCTCTTCGTCTTCTTCTTCTCCGCCGTCTTCCTCGCTCTCCTCGCTGCTCGGATCAAAGGCGTCGTCCGCATCCGGGATTTCATCATCCAGATCTTGCGCCCCGTCGAGCTGCACATCGTCCATCATGCCCTCGTCCATTGGGCCGCCACCCTCGGCTTCCGCCAGCTCCTGGGCAAGCTGCTCCCGCCGCATGGCTTCCTGGTGTTCCTCCTGTTCGCGCTTCTCCTCCCGCATCTGATGCAGCGTCTTTGGCACTCCGGGGGGCTTCAGCCAGGTGCTGCCAAAGTTCTGCACGTTCAGTCGGCGCCGGTGCATCTTCTGCTCGTCTGCAGCAAGCCGCGCGAGCAATGTCCGCTCCATGAGCTGCCCACGCTGCCGCGAGTGCGCCGGGCCATGGTGGCCGCCGTTGTTCGGATCCGTGTGAAGGTTATCGACCGGGCCTGGAGGGATGAAGGGATTCCTAGACGACGAGTACCACAGAGAATGTGACTGAACCACGGTGTCAGCTGGTGATACTCAGTAATGTTCCCTTTCCTAGAAGAAATCCTTACATCTCGCGGCGTGAAGTCTGGCAGCGTTGCGAACATCGGTAACCCGCAGTCAAGCCCTGATGTCATCAATGTCCCAGCTTGTGATGGTGATGAGGTCTCGTGGGCATCAAGGTGTTGACGAATTACGAGATAGCTGGCCGGCAGTTTGTTGGCCCTGGACCCGCAGGCGCTTGTGGCGTCTAGGTACGTCCATTGCTGTACTTTTAGGCGCGCACCGAAGCCTTCCACGTGTCAGCCTCACGGAACCTTTAAAGCAGCTACAATGGAAGTCTTCGTTGAACAGCCAAACGCTTCGTGGCTTATTCTGCGTGCTTGAAAAATGGACCAATTTCAATTAGTACCTGGTAGTTTTACAAAGGCTTCTGAGGTGTCATGCTACGGCAGGCAAAAGACAGCCAGCTTCTGCCCGCCTACTACTTTGTGCCAAAAGAGGAGCTACGTCCTCCTCAGGCCACTCAGGCGTTCAGCCTGCTCGGACAGCTTACTCGTACAAACTCATCCTGGTCAACCCTTTACAATGACTCACAACAACTCGAATGATGGGACAAGGCAACAAAAGGCCCAACTACGGCGATTTGTGCATCTCGTCCTGCTTGGCGCCTCGACAGACAGACTCAGGGTGGATATCGGGAGATTTCGGAATATCCAACGGACCCCCATCCTCATTTTCCCTGCCATGGAAAGCTGCGACATGGGGGTATCGCTGTCGTTTCCGCTCCGTCTTCGGTGAGCCACCATGCCATGTGTGCTCTTTGGACCGCGCCCAGGCTGTAACCATCGGATTCTCGTCTGCAACGTCGTCGGCGTAATGCGAGAAGAGGTTCGAATTTTGATGAGTAAGATGGATTCGGAGTTGAAATCAGCCGAGTAATCATCCGTCCGAGATGGAAAGAGACCCTAGTTCCAGGAGCTTCTTCTTCAGCAAATCCCCTCGGATCAGCGCAGCGTATCCAAGAAAAATGCCGAGACCCTCTTTGCTACAGGGCATCAGATGGTCGTATGAAGAAATGTGTCCAGTTCTCTCGATGGCTGTGGTCGGGGGCGGATGATGAGGTCACCGACTTCCCTTGGCTTTGGCCATCAGGACCAGTCTCAAATTGACCATCAATCTTGTGTGTGACCAGCTCGCCTCCAGATGCCCATCTCCTGCAGTGCTGTCGTTGCCGAGATTCCGCATTGGTATATTTATAAGAACCGTCGGAGACCTCCGTTCAAAGACAAAGAACAAAGTACATACTCGCGTGAGGCGTCCAACCATCTGTGATGCATTTCACCAGTGATCTGGAACAAGGACACACCCCCCTCCCTTGCCCCGCCATCTGGCTCGGGAAAATAGGTAGGCCCTGGTTAATTGGCAGAGACGGCGGAAGGAATAGGCGCTGTTGCATTTTATCCTGACTGAGAAGCGTGATGCACGCAAAGAGTGGACATAAGCCTGGTTCAATTGGTACGTTGCGAAATGCAGACCCTCCAATATTGCCTCAGATGGAAGTGGCCTGTTTTTGGGAGCAGGCTGGCAATCGCGATGGTGGCGGATGGTCGAGTACGCCTTGAGGTTGTCTGTTCTTCTGCGTCCTTCAAAACGATAGAGCCGTAATGTTGCTCCTCTCCTAAGCCTCGGTAGGTCACAGTAAAGATCTTCTTGTTCAGAGCCAACTGCTCGTTACAAAACAAGCTCCTTGGAGGCACCTCTGGCAGCACCTCTGGGGGTACGTGCAAGCAGCAGGGCCATCACCTCATTTGGATGTCACCATGACTTGTGCGGGTGCAACCATGGAGTACGGAGTCCTCGTACTTCGTACTTGCACTTGCTCCTCCAGCTGCCGGGCAGAGCACCTTGGATGTCTCATAAACGAGACCATCTGCCTCTGTGGCAAGCTGGCTCGTATCAGCGTTCGAGTAGCCCCAGGCTATGGCTGCCACTATCTGTAGGTAGCGTTAGACGTTCGGGCGACGGGCCGGCAATCTTGGTTGGCCTGAGATAAGGACGACAGGCCAGCGGCTGGGATGCTGATTGGCTGCAGGCGCCAGTTTTATGATGTCGATTTTTTGAGTGAGCGTGGCCGAAGTAACCACCACGCAGCCAGATGGATGGGTCGTCCCGTCAGTAGGTACATACGAGCAGCTCGCCAGGATGTGGCATCGCGTCCCTTAGAATAACAGGCAATATCGATGCGAGACGAACCAAATGGGGTTGCATCGAACAGGAAGGGTTGCCAGAATCGTGCCTCTCATCGACGTCGTGCATGCTGCAGGCGTCGAAGCCTAGTGCCTTATTGGTCGACGAGGTTTCCACGACGGCCATCGTTCGAAACGGCTGTTCTCCGGGTTGGTTCCCTGCGGTCCTCTCTCGTCTCAATGCAAGTGAAGATGGCGCCGCTGGCGCGGGCAAAATCCATAAAAGCAATCTGCGGCCCAGCACACCCGGCTGCTGTCTGCAGCGTCCGCGCATGCCCAGCCCCGGCTCTGCATCCTCATCTTGTCCACATTGTCCATCTTGCAGCCAGAAACTGCAACCGACCTTTCTGTTTCGGCCGTGTCGAGCACGAGTGACATGGCTGTGGCACGTGTGGCTATGACGACGAGAAGCCGCACAGACTGCCTCGCACATGGCACCAGCTTGAGGGGGCTCCCGTGTCCCCGAGAATGGGACACGCACCAACCACGCCGTGACTCGACATCCCCTTGTCCTAGTAGGGTAGTTCTCTTAATGGCGCTGTTTGGGCAAAATTGCAATGGCGCTGAGCAGTCGATTGCTCTGCCGTCTTGGGGGTCAGTCTCTCCAGACGCCAGACGGCATGGTGGCGTTTTAGGGTCTCCGTTCCATCAAGAGCAACTGTGCCGTTGGCGTTGAAGCTTGAGCGCGACATCGGCCACGCAGGGGCCAGGCTTTGGAAATGGTCGGCCGTGATTGGCGGTTCAGCTAAGCTTCAAGCCGTCAGCCACAGATCCTCGTGTGCATCTGTCGAAAGTGTGTAGGGATAATCCCTGCACGAGAGCAGAGATGCTGTGGGGTTGGAAGGGAACCCTGCCGCATTCGGGCATTATTAGCCCTCAGATTTCTCTTACACAAAGCGTGTTGCAAACCAAATGTCTCGACGACTGGATAAGCCTGTCTCTGGTCATCGAGATATGCTGAGACGAGCGTCAGCCGCCATGGAGCCAACCAGAGGGCCGGGAATTAGTCGCAGCTTATTATTGTGACAGCAGGCGATGAGGCGAAGAGAAAGGAGGGGCCTTTGGGGCCTCTGCATTGTGTGGCCATTCGCAAGGAGGCAGTCGGGCGGTTGCAAGAACAAGCGACGGCATTGGAAGAAGCTGCTTGGCACGGCCGAAATTATTGCTCACAGCCGTTGTGGATCAGAAGTGATGGGAAATTGCCATCCATACGGCCGTGTCATTTCTCGACGCCGTGTCTCCCGATGGACGAGACAAACAGCAGTTTTGTGCAGGTAATTCGAGGGTAATGAGAATAGAGCAGCGAGTTTCCTGGGGGTAATAGCAAGATTTTTGAGGGTAATCGATACCCCGATTGGGAAAGTCGGGATGGAATTCGGCGTTGGTGCCTCAGGCTGATTACGTACCTGCCGGCACAGACGATTCCAGACAACGCCAAAGAGACGCTTCATCCAGGCTTTCTTCGACCTCAGATCATTGTCGGAGAAGACCGGGTCTGCGTAAAGGGGCAAGATGCTGAGCAATTGCCTCAGGGGGGTTACAGCCGAGGGCCAATCCTCGCTCGCCTCAGTGGAAGAGGTGACGTGCCGAGCCGGAGATCCCTCAGCTGCATGCTTGAAAGCCAACAACACCAGCAATACAATAGTGCAACTTCAATGTATGCGGCGGCTCTTCGCCTTACAAGCCAATGTGGTTGATATTACAGTACCAGGCCCTTGTCAGGACCCCGAGGCTAGCGCGGCGTCTTCCCTGGTTGCCTGGCTCTTCAGATGCTGAGGCTCGGACTGACATCAGCGAATTGCAGGCTCGACGGTCCTTCCGCCTCCGCGCATCGGCGCTGCGCATGCACAAGCACGACGAATGGAACCGTCCTCCCGCGTCCCCATATTCTCCAAAGATGAGATCCGACCAAGCACGAAGCACACACGCAAATTGCCTGTGCCTTCTGCCTTCAACGCTGGCACACACCCCCGGAGCTTGCGGTGTTTTCTGACATGTGCTTCTGGGGCCATCACGGAGGGGCAGATCGGTCCGCAGCAAGAGGCCTTGGAGTTCGTCTCTAGCCCGGAGGCGCTACGACGCACGCCAGTCAAAACGCCGCCATTCAGGCGTTTGGTGTTGCGCCATCCTCGACGCCCCCCACTGTCGGCTGCGACTTTCGAGCACTAATCCTGGCAGGTTGGATTGGTTAGCAGGACGCTCGACTTAGGTTTCTGCTTCTTTTCGTGGCCGACGCTCTGCTCGGACCACCTGCGAGATCCATGGCTTGGCAGAGACACACGCTTGATGAGATGCTCATGCCTTTTATGGGGGCACGCCGGGGAAACTGGGCAGACGGACGCCTCCATCCTCCATCCGTTGTCCCTAGAATAAAAGCTGCCGCCTGCCCTCCCTCCCCCATCCAACTCTGCTTCACCTCCCTCCTTCTTTCACGTCAACTCTCTCTCTCTCATTCCATTTCGTGGCTTGCTGTTCATCCACCAGAGCGCAAAGCGCCTCCTAGATACCAAACGAACATCTGAAGCCGGTAAGTTGTTGATGCTGACGATTAACTTTACCCCCCCTTTCACCTGTCAAATGCTTTTCGACGTCCCCGAGCTCCCCTCCTCAGTTTCCTTACCCCAAAAGCAAGTGCGAATACAAGAGAGACACGGGTTCAAGTGTCTGCCGGCGCCAACTTTACTTCGACTTGGGGAATTCGAACATTCGCCCAGCTTACCAGAGGCTTTGGCGGCTTCTGCGGAGAGAGCTTTGCAATCAGCATTTGCCACACCCAATGGATGATAAGCGCTGTTCGAGCTCAATTGGGATGGAAGGCCACGATTTCCAAAGAGAAGGGAAAAAACAAGGTTTTTTGAACAGATGTCTGAACGATTCGGCGCAATTGGAACTGGCAGACGATCATCCGTCCTGCTACGTCTCATTACGCCATCTGGACTCCGATCATCCTCGCTTGAACTTCTCACGGCCGAATGGCTCCGGCGAGTTGTGCTTGTGCGATGGACGGCATAGGCTGCAATATTGGGCAATAGTCCTCTCTCTCCCCGCTTCCCGCAATTCCGCAGTTCGCTGCAGACGTGCAGAAGCAGTTGCAGACGGGACACAAAACGCAACGTTGTCACCGGCTGCGTCCATTCGGCGCCTCTCTGCCGATGACGGCCGCCTGCAGCAGCGGTCCATGTCGAGTCCAGACACTCGGGCGCCAAGCGGCCGCAAATGGCCTGTTTTGTGGGCGTGAGGGGCATCGTGGGGGAAATTCCCGACACGAGCGTCATCGTCTCACATGCTGTTGGCCGCGCGAACGCTTAAAAATTGGAATTGCCCATTGAGGGCCGCCGCCGGGGCTCTAGTAGGGCTGCGAGTGCTAAGTTACAGCGCGAACAAGCCCCCCCTGCAGCGCCCAGCAGGGCCCCCACCCGCTGTGGCCGGCTCTCGCCTCAGCGCTTGCAGCTCCAGGTCTCGTCTCGTGCAACCTCATCGAGTGATGATGACAGGCTCGGCAACGAACGGCATCGGAGGCTGTTCGTCGCTGCATTGAACTGGAACGCCTCTCTTCTCATCTTTTCTTGCTCGCTATCCATCTCCCTGCACATCAGACATTGCTTTTCTCTTTCACAACAGCTTCTGTGCTTCATCGCTAACGCGGAATTGCTTCGTTGACAGGTCTGTGCTGAGCGCAGATATTACTCCTGTCGTCCCTACGCCACGTACGATACGACATAGCTGCGGGCACAAGCTGCTGCCATCTGCTGCCGTCCCCGTCCAATCGTACCGGATCATCAATAATTGACGCATCCTCGCCTAGCATGGGCTATCTCGAGGACTTCGACGACCGACAAATTCACCAAGACGCCGAGAAAGAGGAATACCATCCGTATGAGTACCAGGCGGACAACAATGACTCGTGGGCTGGTGCCCTGCCGGTGAAGCAGGGTCTGTATGACCCGTCTTACGAAAAGGATGCTTGTGGTGTAGGCTTTGCTTGGTAAGTTGCCCTCGCTCCTCTCACGATGGTTGTAATCCGGCCATGCTGACCCGCGAATTCCAGCCACATCAAGGGCAAGCCTAGCCACAAGATTGTCAGCGATGGTGAGTTGCAGCCATTGGAGCCATGCCATCTAAGAGATGCATTTCTAACCGTCCATCAACAGCACGAAACCTCCTGTGCAACATGACCCATCGTGGTGCTGTGGGATCCGACGCCCGAGATGGTGACGGTGCTGGTGTGATGACATCCATCCCACACAAGTTCTTCATCAAGAACTTCGAGAGAGAGGAGAACATTAAGCTGCCTCCTCTGGGTCAGTATGCTGTTGGAAACCTGTTCTTCAAGCCCGACGAAGAGACTTTCGAAGAGTCCAAGAGGCAACTGGAAGATGTTGCTGAATCGTTGGGTCTGCGGGTTTTGGGATGGCGACGGCCTCCTGTTGATTCCAGCTTGCTTGGTCCCGCGGCCAAGTCCCGCGAGCCCATCATTGCTCAGCCCTTCGTTGTCCTTGCCTCAGCATACGGCACCGGCAATGCCCCCGAGGTCACCGACCCGGCCCAGTTCAACGAGCGACACTTTGAGCGACAGCTCTATGTGCTCCGGAAACGCGCCACGCACACCATCGGCCTCCACAACTGGTTCTACCTGTGCTCTTTGTCAAACAAGAACATCGTGTACAAGGGTCAGCTTGCCCCTGTGCAGGTTTACTCTTACTACCACGATCTGGTCAACGCCGACTACGAGGCTCACTTTGCTCTCGTTCACTCGCGTTTCTCCACAAACACATTCCCCTCTTGGGATCGTGCTCAGCCGCTGCGCTGGGCTGCCCACAACGGTGAAATCAACACGCTGCGAGGCAACAAGAACTGGATGCGCGCCCGTGAGGGTGTCATGCAGTCGGACATTTTCAAGGAGGAGCTGGAAATGATGTACCCCATTGTTGAGGACGGCGGTTCCGATTCCGCTGCCTTTGACAACGTCCTCGAGCTGCTCACCATCAACGGAGTGCTCTCTTTGCCCGAGGCCGTCATGCTCATGGTTCCCGAAGCTTGGCAGGGCAACGAGACCATGGACCCCAAGAAAGCTGCCTTCTACGAATGGGCTGCTTGCCAGATGGAGCCTTGGGATGGCCCCGCCCTCTTCACCTTTGCTGATGGCCGCTACTGCGGTGCCAACCTCGACCGAAACGGTCTGCGACCTTGCCGATTCTACGTCATGGACGATGACCGCATCATCTGCGCCTCTGAAGTCGGTACCATTCCCGTCGAGCCCGAGTCTGTCATCCAAAAGGGCAGATTGCAGCCCGGTAGGATGCTGCTGGTCGACACCCTGGCCGGACGAATCATTGACGATGCTGAGCTCAAGTCTGCCATTGCAGACCGATGCGACTTCCGCGCATGGCTTGACAGCGAGCTCATCACCATGCCCAAGGTTCTGGAGGCCCTGGAGGCCAAGCTTGATCTGTCTGCCAAGCCCGACGAGGCTCGCTTCCAAGAGGACCCCCTGATGCTCGCTTTTGGCTACACCCACGAGCAGGTCAGCTTGCTGCTTGCCCCCATGGCCGCCGACGAAAAGGAGGCTTTGGGCTCCATGGGCAACGACGCTCCCCTGGCATGCTTGACTGATTCGCCCCGTCTCCTCTACGAATACTTCCGACAGCTCTTTGCCCAGGTCACCAACCCGCCCATTGATCCCATCAGAGAGTCCATTGTCATGTCACTGGAGTGCTACGTTGGGCCTCAGGGTAACCTGCTCGAGATGGATGCTTCTCAGTGTGGCCGCCTCCTCCTCCCCAGCCCCATCCTGTCCATTCCCGAGTTCAATGCCATCAAGAACATGTCAACCCTTTACCCCGAGTGGACTGTCAAGACGATCGACCTCACATACCCCAAGTCCGAGGGAGTTGAAGGCTACCTGAAGCATCTGGATGTAATCTGCAAGGAGGCCACCGCGGCCATTGAGGCTCGCGACCGCATCATTGTCTTGTCTGACCGAGGAACATCTGCCGATCGTGTTGCCGTGTCTGCTCTGCTGGCCTCTGGTATGGTCCACCACCACCTCGTCAGCAACAAGTGGCGATCAATGGCCGCGCTGGTTGTCGAGACCGCCGAAGCTCGCGAGGTCCACCACATGTGCGTTCTGCTCGGCTACGGTGCAGACGCCATCAACCCTTACCTCGCCATGGAGTGCATTCTCAAGCTTAGCAAGGAGGGTCTTCTTAAGAAGAAGCTGTCGGACGATGAGCTCATTCGCAACTACAAGCACTCTTGCGATGGTGGCATTCTGAAGGTTATGAGCAAGATGGGTATCTCTACTCTGGCTTCTTACAAGGGTGCTCAGATCTTTGAAGCTCTTGGCCTTGACGAGTCGGTCGTTGAGAGGTGCTTCAGGGGTACGGCTTCCCGTATTCAGGGTCTTACCTTTGAGCTCATCGCCGAAGATGCCTTCCGATTCCACGAGCTTGGCTTCCCTTCGCGCTACACTGTTGGCATCAAGGCTCTTCCCGAGTCCGGTGAATACCACTGGCGTGACGGCGGCGAGGCCCACGTCAACGACCCAACCGCTATCGCTAACCTGCAAGATGCAGTTCGCGCCAAGAACGACAAGTCGTACGAGGCCTACTCTCGAAGCGAGTACGAGCAGATCAAGTCTTGCACGCTGCGTGGCCTGCTCGACTTCAAGTTCGATGAGTGCAAGCCGGTGCCCATTGACCAGGTCGAGCCATGGACCGACATCGTCCGACGCTTCTGCACAGGCGCCATGTCGTACGGCTCCATCTCCATGGAGTCTCACTCTACGCTCGCCGTCGCCATGAACCGACTGGGCGGCAAGTCCAACACCGGTGAAGGTGGTGAGGATCCCGAGCGATCCGAGCGACTTGCGAACGGCGATACCATGCGCTCTGCCATCAAGCAGGTCGCCTCTGGACGATTCGGTGTCACGTCTGCCTATCTCGCTGACTCTGACGAGCTCCAGATCAAGATGGCACAGGGTGCCAAGCCTGGTGAGGGTGGTGAGCTGCCCGGCCACAAGGTCTCCAAGTCTATTGCTCGTACTCGACACTCGACTCCCGGCGTCGGTCTCATCTCGCCTCCGCCTCACCACGACATCTACTCCATCGAGGATCTCAAGCAGCTGATCTACGACTTGAAGTGCTCGAGCCCTCGCTCCCGCGTGTCTGTCAAGCTTGTGTCTGAGGTCGGTGTCGGCATCGTTGCCTCTGGTGTGGCCAAGGCCAAGGCTGATCACATCCTCATCTCTGGCCACGACGGTGGTACCGGTGCTTCCCGATGGACTGGTATCAAGTACGCTGGTCTTCCCTGGGAGCTGGGTCTTGCCGAGACTCACCAGACTCTGGTTCTCAACGACCTGCGTGGCCGTGTCGTGGTGCAGACTGACGGTCAGCTCCGAACCGGCCGAGATGTTGCCATCGCCTGTTTGCTCGGTGCTGAGGAGTGGGGTTTTGCTACTGCTCCCTTGATTGCCATGGGCTGTATCATGATGCGCAAATGCCATCTGAACACCTGCCCCGTTGGTATCGCTACCCAGGACCCTGAGCTGCGCAAGAAGTTCACTGGTACCCCCGAGCACGTCATCAACTTCTTCTACTACGTCGCCAACGAGCTTCGAGCCATCATGGCCAAGCTGGGCTTCCGAACCATCAACGAGATGGTTGGCCGTGTCGAGGTCCTCAAGATGCGCGAGGACTTGCGCACCAAGAAGACTGCCAACATTGACCTGTCTCTCCTGCTGACACCAGCCCACAGACTCCGGCCTGGCGTCGCTACTTTCAACGTCCGCAAGCAGGACCACAAGCTCTACGTCCGATTGGACAACAAGCTGATTTCGGAGGCTGAGTTGACTCTCGACAAGGGACTCCCGTCTCGAATTGAGTGCGACATTGTCAACACTGATCGTGCCATGGGCACTTCGCTGTCGTACCAGATCTCCAAGAGATATGGTGGCGAGGGTCTTCCGCTTGACACTGTTCACGTCAACATCAAGGGCTCTGCCGGCCAGTCCTTCGGTGCGTTCCTCGCGCCAGGTGTTACTCTCGAACTGGAGGGTGATTCCAACGACTATGTCGGCAAAGGCTTGTCTGGTGGTCGTCTGATTGTCTACCCTCCTCGTTCTGCCGTGTTCAAGGCTGAAGAGAACATCCTGATCGGCAACGTCTGCTTGTACGGAGCGACAAGTGGTATTTGCTACTTCCGTGGTGTCGCTGCCGAGCGATTCGCCGTCCGCAACTCCGGCGCCACGGCCGTTGTCGAGGGTGTCGGTGACCACGGTTGCGAGTACATGACTGGTGGACGAGTTGTCATCTTGGGCAGCACTGGCCGCAACTTCGCTGCGGGCATGTCCGGCGGTATTGCGTACGTGCTGGACATTAACAAGGACTTCGTCTCCAAGCTCAACACCGAGATGGTTGAGTACGGTCCCCTTACGGACCCCGTTGAGATTGCCTACGTTCGCGGTCTCATTGAAGACCACCACCACTACACGGGCTCTGAGCGGGCGGCACGCATCCTGGTCGACTTCAACCGTGCCCTGCCTCGATTCGTCAAGGTCCTTCCTACGGACTACAAGCGTGTGCTCGAGGAGGAGGCTGCCAAGGCTGCCGAGGCCAAGCGTGCCGAGTATAACCTGCCTGTTATCTCTGGGGTACACTCCAAGAAGGAGGACAAGGCTGCTAAGCTCCAGGATATGGAGGAAGCCATTGGCGACAGCTCGGCCGAGAAGAAGAAGAGGGCTCTGGTGCTCGACAAGACCAAGGGCTTCATGAAGTACGCCCGCCGTACCGAAAAGTACCGCTCTGTCAACACCAGAATCAAGGACTGGGCCGAGATCAGCTCCCGTCTCGATGAGGACGAGCTCAAGTACCAGTCTGCCCGTTGCATGGACTGCGGTGTCCCCTTCTGTCAGTCAGATACCGGCTGCCCCATCTCCAACATCATCCCCAAGTGGAACGAACTTGTCTTCCAGAACCAGTGGAAGGACGCGCTCAACCGTCTGCTCATGACCAACAACTTCCCCGAGTTCACCGGCCGTGTCTGCCCCGCCCCCTGTGAGGGAGCTTGCGTGCTGGGTATCAACAGCGACCCTGTCGGTATCAAGTCAATTGAGTGTGCCATCATCGACCGTGGTTTTGAGATGGGCTGGATGGTGCCTCGGATCCCCGAGGTCCGCACTGGTAAGAAGATTGCCATTATCGGATCCGGTCCCGCTGGTCTGGCCTGTGCTGACCAGCTCAACCGAGCTGGCCACACCGTGACCGTGTATGAGCGCGCCGACCGCCTGGGTGGCCTCTTGATGTACGGCATCCCGAACATGAAGCTGGACAAGCGTATCGTCAAGCGCCGAACCGACTTCATGGCCGCTGAGGGCATCAACTTCAAGACAGGCGTGGCCATTGGTGCCGAGGGCCAGCCGTCGCTGAAGGACCTCAAGGCCAGCCACGACGCCGTCGTCATTGCCACAGGTGCCACCGTTGCCCGCGATCTCCCCATCAAGGGACGCAACCTGGAGGGCATCCACTATGCCATGGAGTTCCTGCACAAGAACACCAAGTCCCTGCTCGACTCTCAGCTTGCGGACAACTCGTACATCTCGGCCAAGGGCAAGCACGTCGTCGTTATCGGCGGTGGCGATACCGGCAACGACTGTATCGGTACTTCGGTCCGCCACGGTGCCAAGTCCGTGACCAACTTTGAGCTGCTGCCTCAGCCTCCTGATGAGCGTGCCAGCGACAACCCTTGGCCCCAGTGGCCCCGAATCTACCGCGTCGACTACGGCCACACGGAGGTTCGCCAGCACGACGGCAAGGATCCTCGAGAGTACTGCATCATGTCCGAGGAGTTTGTCGACGACGGCAGTGGCAAGGTCAAGGGCATCAACACCGTCCGTGTCGAGTGGACAAAGAACCCCAGCGGCGGTTGGGACATGAAGAAGGTTGAGGGCTCCGAGCAATTCTTCCCTGCCGACCTCGTCCTGTTGGCCATGGGCTTCCTGGGACCCGAGGCTCGCGTTCTCGGAGACGAGATTGAGAAGGACGCTCGCAAGAACGTCAAGACGGCGCCTGGCAAGTACAGCACCAATGTGGAGGGCGTGTTTGCTGCGGGTGATGCTCGCCGCGGCCAGTCTCTCATCGTTTGGGGCATCAACGAGGGTCGCATGGCGGCTCGTGAGGTTGATTTGTACCTGGAGAACTGCACCAACTTGCCGGTGACGGGTGGTATTGTCAAGCGGACCGCGCAGGAGATTTTCACCAGGATTGCCGCAGCGCACTAAGAGAAACGAGTTATGAAGCATGGTGTTTCTCTTTGGATATGTAACGAGTACATGTAGTGATTAGCATATTTCGTCCTTTTTTTTTTCAGTTCTATTTCAGGTGTATAAGGTAGTTTTAAGCAATGATACCATAGCCTTTATTATACTCTTGATGCCTTTTCACTCGGTGACTTGTTCTCAGCCATTGGTTACTATGAGGCTAGCCGTTCATCTACCAGTTTCAATTGGGCCAACCCACGTCCTCACAGCTTGCAATTGATCAATTAATACCTACCTGGGCTACACCTTAAGTCGTATCAAAAAGTCAATTGCAGTTCCCTCCATCATCAAATCCTTCAATCTCATCTCGAATGTCACCTCGTCTGGTCCAATCGGCTCAAGCAATTCACCTTGCGGGGCAGACCTGCGTCATTTCGCCGTTTTAGCGCCCATGCCTTTTGTCTGTTTTCGGGCAAGATGAAGTTGGGTACACGTGCCTTTTACTGGAGCGGTGATAGGCTCAACTGCCTGGCACTCTTGAACAACAGCCGAGCCTGGGTAGGTAGTACTACCTAAGGTACCTTGAAGCGCACTGGGAAAGGATCCATCAGGAGATGTACTTATCAGATTGCACCTTTGGAGTGTCTAACTTACCTAATACCTAGTGTTAAGCCAGTTTCGCCATTGTGAAGAATCGCCAGCTGGGGGGGCCGGGAGTGGCTTTTGGGCGAGTTGAGGTGAGGTGAGGTGAGGTGAGATGCCGGACGTTATTAGGTGAGGCTTCAGGTCTGTAGCAGCAGAGAGTTACTTTAGTGCTGTGGATCTGGGTTATAGTGGATGTAGCGGTGCATTAGCGGATAATGGGCAAATGGGCTAGCGGCAGAGCTCCAGCTTTCATTTGATCGCAGCTTGAGAAAGGCCTAGAATAGACTGCACGTGTGGCGGATCCAGCCCAGACCGAGCTTGTTCTTGTCCTTCTCCGTGCTTCGTCACTAGAATTCGTCTCTTGAAAAGCGCTTCCTTTGCTGCAGTACTCGGCATTATCCTGGCCTCTTGACTCAAGGCCAATTGGGACCAAGACATTGTTAGTAATATCGCTGTTCCCCGGCATATTACGTAGCGGCATCGCTCCGTTGTTTATTTTCCCTCCTCAAACTCTTTCTCCGTCTTCTCCAGCCTCGCCTATCCGACTCAATTGCTAGCCGACGAGGAAGTTTCACCGCCGAAAGAGCTCGTGCACACTCCAGCCTCGACCGAGACGATACCCATCGAGCGAGAAATCGAACTTGTCGAATCCGCGATTCCAATCCCCTCTTGCTTGCATCACGGGGCAGAACGACGTGATACGAGACCGGCGACATGCGTTTCGGAAAGACCCTCCGCGAGTCGATATACCCGCCGTGGAAGGACAAGTATGTCGACTACGGCAAGCTGAAGAGCATCCTGCGGGAGGACCAAAAGGACGACGACGCCCCCTGGACCGAGGAGGACGAGAGCCGCTTCTGCGACGAAATCTTCAATGTCCAGCTCGAAAAGGTGGCCCGGTTCCAGCAGGAGCGCTTCGATGCCCTTAAGCAGAGGGTCGATGCTGCTTTTGAGAAGCTCAAGGAGTACGCGCCGCCCGCGGAGTCTGGCGCCGGTGCGGACGCTGCTGATGCTGGCGAGGGTAGCAGCTCCAGCAAGCCGGGTCTCAGCCGCGAAGAGCTGGCTGCGAAGCTCAGGGAGCTTGAGGGAGAGCTCGATGACATTACCAATGAGGTCAAGGCCTTGAAGAAGTATAGCAGCATCAACTACACGAGCTTCCTCAAGATTGTCAAGAAGCATGACCGCAAGAGAGGAGACCGCTACAAGGTGCGGCCGATGATGCAGCTTAGCCTGGCTCAGCGGCCGTTCAACTCGGAGCAGGGATACGCGCCTCTGTTGAACAAGCTGTCCGTCATGTACTTTGCTATTCGGCAGCAGTTGGAGGAGGGTGATCAGGTGCCGCTTGCCTTGGATGCCTCGGCTGAGACGCACAATGGCGAGCGATATACAGCTCACAAGTGTAAGTGTGCTTCGGCTTGCGGATTTTGCATCATGAGTTCACTTTGCTAACGTGCAATTGGCAGTCTGGGTGCACCCCGACAACTTGCTCGAGGTCAAGACGCTCATCCTTCGCCGACTCCCCGCTCTCGTCTACAGCGAACAGTCTGCCAAGGAGCTGGACGGATCCGACTCGCCTTCCATCACCTCGCTCTACTTTGACAATGAAAAATTTGAGGTGTACTCCGAGAAGGTGGAGCAGAAGTCACAGGTCACTTCCCTGCGTCTGCGATGGTACGGCCAGCTGAGCAGCAGGCCCGAGATCTTCGTGGAGCAGAAGTCGGCCGATGCAAGCGGCAACAGCGAGGAACACAAGTTCACCATCAAGGACAAGTACGTCAAGCAGTTCCTCAATGGAGAGTACACGGCGGAAAAGGCGATACAGAAGATGGAGAGGATGGGCGAGTCTCCGGAGCAGATCGAGGCCTACAGGGCGACCGTTGCCAGGGTCCAGGAGTTCCAGCAGAGGAAAAAGTTGATGCCGGTGCTGAGAGCCAACTACGTCCGCACTGCCTTCCAGAAGCCCGCCGACGACCGCGTCCGCATCTCCATCGACACTGATCTCGCTTTCATCCGTGAGGACACGCTGGACAAGAGCCGCCCCTGCCGAGATCCCAACGAATGGCACCGAACGGATATTGATAACAGCAACATGAAGTATCCGTTCCAGAACATCAACCAGAGCGAAGTGTCCAAGTTCCCCTATGCCATACTGGAGATCAAGCTGAAGGAGGACGGCAACCGCAAGCGGCCATCCTGGATAGAGGACTTGATGGGTTCCCACCTGGTGCACCCTACTCCTCGCTTTTCAAAGTTTGTCCACGGCGTTGCCTCGCTGTTCGACGACTACGTGAACAACCTGCCGTTTTGGCTTGGTGACTTGGAAACCGACATCCGCAAGGACCCTCAGAAGGCATTTGAGGAAGAAGAGCAGCGCCGGGCCCAGCGCGCCGACGACGCCATGGCCGTTGGAAGCCTCATTGGCACCGTGCCTAGCTCCTACAAGGTGGCTCAGAGCTCGCCCGTTGGCAAGTCATATCTCGCCGATCGCATGGCGGCTGATGCCAAGGCGCATCTGTCCCGCTCTCTGCGGCAAAAGACGTCGCAGCCTCCTCAGGGGCAGGAAGAGGAGGGCGAGAGCAGCTCCAGTCAGTCTCGATCAGGAGGATACGGCACCTTGTCATCGGTCCTCCCAGGCCTGTCACTCTCCAAGTACGCCATTGCGAAACGAGCTCGTGCTCATGCTCCTCTCCCCGAGGGCGTGGTGGAGCCTTCGCAATGGATCAAAAACACGGGAGAACTCAAAGTCGAGCCCAAGGTGTGGCTGGCCAACGAGCGAACGTTTCTCAAGTGGCAGCACATTGCCATCCTGCAGGGCACTCTGGCCCTGGCGCTGTACTCGGCTGCCGGAGACAACACGATTGCGCAGTGGATCGGCATTGCGTACATTGGCATTGCGGGCTTTGCGAGCGTCTGGGGCTACGGCGTGCTGCGGACTCGCCGGACCATGATCATGGAAAGGAGCGGCAAGGACTTTGATAACATGGTTGGACCGGTGATTATCAGCGTGGCCATGATGATTGCGCTGATTGTCAATTTCAGTCTCCAGGTAAGACGACGCTTGTTTGTCATGGGCGTGTCGAGTGAAGGCTAATAGTTGACGCAGTACCAAAAGGCTTTTGCCAAGTTGAAGGATCGTGACGCGGCCGTGCCGATTACGGACGAGCTGGTGTAAGCTGGCGCATGCGTGCATCTTGGATATGTGTTTTTCTATACCAGCGACGAGGTTGGAGAAGCCCGTGATTGTGTGTCGAGCTTCTTAGCAGACTTATCAGATGGTATAAGTCTCTGTACTTGGTCTTTGTTCTGTCCTGCCGTGGCAGGGAGAGAGCGGTTGTCGTATCCTGTTGTTTAGCGATGTCGATAGGACTGCAAAGTGTTTTTGAACTACAAAGTATATACTCTATAGGGAGGACATGCGTTGTATTGATGTTCTGAAACTGTAATGAGCGCTGCTTGAGGTTGTGGAAACTGGACTCAAAGATATTTCCCGGTGCTGTGCTGCGTTTAACGAGCGGTGTTCCGGAAGGTCGGTGATGATGTGATGGCGACGGTGATTGGAGCGTGAAAAGAGCCGGGGGGTTGGAGGATGATCAGGGTGATATTCCGTGTCTTGGTAGGGGGGATTATATGTATCTCGTAATACCATGTCTCTTTTCTGTTCGGTCTTGTTCCCCTTGCGAGACTCCGGCTTTTCCTCTTTGGGTGCAGCGTTTATGTGCAGCGAGCGGTAAGGCATGCATGCAGTTGAAGTCGCATTGCAGAGGGACCTGTCATGTTGTTTGTATGGGGGAACATGAGGATGTTTTTGGTGAGCTTCGTGATTTGGATGGATGTGTCCTCGGAGCTGTATGTGTTCTTTCCTTTCTTCTTGTTTTCGCAGGTCCATGAATCAATGTGAGGTTGAAGAATTTGAAGTGATGGGTTTGGTGTTTTAGTACCTAGTAATGCTGGAGGTGATGCAGGGAGGGTGTATGCGGTCCATCGTTTTGACGCAGGTATGGATGGATGGACGGATGGATGTGCATTGTTTGCGTTTACTACTTACAGACGGGATGAGGGAGTAACAGATGAATGTGTATCTTTTGTGATTCAGAAGACGGGTATCCTTGGCTATAGTATCTGTCTTTCCCTCCTTTTCTTCTATTCGTGCCTTGTGAATCATGGCAAACAGCTGGAAAGCAAAGCCTTGCTGTAATTCGGTGGTAGTGCCAACTGGAGATGCTGGTCTCCGGTAGGCGCGGGCGGCTATTGTGGCATCCATGCCATTGTTCTACTTGTACGTCCTGCCTCAACTATTTTTTTCTTCTCCTCTGCGCCCCCCTTCCCTTGTTTGACAATCGATTTTGCCTCAAAAGCATCTGCCTTTTCCATCCTCTTCACCATCTCTTCTCTCCTCCCTTTGCCTCGCGACCAACGAGGAACCTGTTGCGACTGCATAGCAGGGAGATTCAGGCGCGTGACAGCGCTGAGCGAACCTCTCGCCTTACCTGAGGCCCCGGAATGAATGCGCCTACCAGAGAATGAACGTGCCATCGACGGAAAGCTAAGAAAGGAAGCCAACCAAGCACAGGAAAAGAGGCCGGCCATGCGCTGTTCTCTCCTCACCAAACCCGGGCGATTGACCGACTTTTCGTGAGGACTAACGCTTCTTCTCTCCTCTCACTTATTTTACGACGCGCAGAGCGCTATTGGGGGAGAGTGAAAGAAAAGGGCTTAGCTGAAAGCGGACGTGGGTGGGCTTTCGCATGAAGTGACGGCAAGGCAAAGCAGAGCAGCGATGGAGCAGAAGAAAGAAAAGTCGAGGTTCTGGGGAGGTCTGTTGCGCGGAGAGAGCTTGATGAAGCGAGGCTCGAGGGTGGTGCGCAAGTATCAGGACCTGCTGCGCGGAGAGGCGCGCGACGACGTGGAGGGTGAGTGGGAAGACGACAACGAGGACAGGGAGCTTCATCAGCCGCCGCAGCAGTTACAGCAGTTACAGCAGCAGCAGCAGCAGCAGCAGCAGCAATACGACGAACAGGAGGAGAGGCAGCGGCGCAGGCTGAGTGAGGGCAGCAACAGCATCGTCGTTCCCCATCGGGAACTGCCGCGCAGGCGGCGGACGATTGATGGCGGGAGCGGTAGCGACATCCTTCAGAGACGCTCGCCCAGGGCCTCGGCCACGAGGCGACGACCCGACGAGTCGCTATCTGGACGACTTCAGTCGGGCTTTGGCAGGAAGCGAGACAGCGGAGCCGATGTCAGCGGCAGCAACGACAACACCGCAGCCACTGCTGGCGATAGGGGCAAGAAGGTCGCAGAGCCGTCGGCGGCAAATGGAGGCCAGAACCCGCGATGGCCGCCGACGGCAGTGTCGAGCCTCGAGGAGCTGCCCCATAGAGATGCCCTCGAAATGATTGCGCACGGGGCGCCGACCTTCAAAGGCCGCAAGAAGGCCATTCCTTACGCATCGGACCAGCACTATGCGCTCTACGTGACGAGCACCAAGACCCGGAGCGGAGGCACCGACGTGGCGAGGCCAAGCGACGCCATGTCGCATCTCATGACGATGAAGGTACAGGAGCACGGCCACGTGTCGTACCCCTGGGAGACGATAGAGCAGCCTAGCTATGCCTTCTTCTACGGTCGTCTAGGCGGCACCATCACGCTCAACCAGTGGGCCTCTGCGGCGAGCAACATCCCAGCCAAGATTCCGCTGAGGGACTCGGGTGTTGTGCCGCGGCCGGTGAGCCTGGAGCAGATCTTTGCGCGGCTGATGGACCTGCAGCAGCTAGGGCTGGAGGACGACGACTTGAGTCTGCTGTATCGGTCTCTGTACAAGCGCTTCTTGCGAGACCCCGACAAGCTTCTGAGCCCGCACAAGACGCTGGACAAACAGATTGCTGACCTGATCATGGCCCTGTCGCGGCCGGACTGGATCGACTACACGGAGCCCAAGAACCAGGTCGTGACCCGCTTCATATTCAACGGCTCTACCGAGGAGGGCCGGGAACAGTATCTCAAGTTCTTTCACCAGCTGCTCCTCAGCCTCGAGCTGGACCTACGCATTCAGTCCCGGCATCACGATGACTGGGCCAAGGAGAAGCTGCTGCAACAGATGCCTCCTACGATCAAATGGAACCTGGCACTTGCGAGGCGGTGGCGGGAGAATGTTCGGATCGAGACGTACGGCGATTCTCCTCAAGAAGGTATGTATCACGTTGCATATTGCTATTTTCCCGAGTGAGAAGACTCGATTTGTAGATGGAAGAGATGAGCGCTTGTGCTCGTGTGATGAAGGGGTAACAGAGGCACGAAGCTAAAGTGTATCTTCCTAGTGAAACTGCGGTACAAGCTGAAGAAGCGGCAAGTGAAGCAGCTCAAGAAGTTTGCTCAAATCATGAAGTGGCCCAATCTAAGGGATACAATGGAGTCCCTGCGGCAAAAGGACGAGGACTTTTCTCTGGACTCGATAAGCTCGGATGCGTTTGCCTACTTTAGCGGACTCGTGCTTCCTGGTGTAAGTGAGCCTCTGACATCACGGCAGGAGGACGATGAAGACGAGGAGGAGGGACTGTGGAGATAAGGGGTAGTAATTACTTTTGCTAACAAGTTGCAGCCGACATTCTCGTTCCTCATCATGAACACGCTCATCGATCTAGATCCTGATCCGGCAACGAATGAGCTGGCCCTGCTTTCTCACATGCACCCACACTCTGGCTTCCAGTACCGTAATAGTCACACGTACTGGTCGGCAAGCTGCATTGTGGGCAAAGTGCTGGCGCCGACGTGCCACTCGGTCGCAGGCTGGGTCGGGCCTTGCAGGCCAACGTCAGAGCTTGGCCGGTCTCAGATTGCCCGCATCCGAACCAGGCAGCCCAAGCAGCGAATGACGCGCGAGGACGTCGAGACGATGAGCACGCGGTCCGATGCGTTAGGCCCGCGGGCAGACGCATATCCCGTGCGCGAGTATAAGCTGGCGACGCTGGACAGCGAGCGATACATGGTGGACGCCGTGCGGATGGAGCTGCTGAGCTTCAAACCGGTTCCTTCTGCTACGGGGCGCGAGAGCAGCGCTGGCGGCCCTCGGCTCTTTGATGCCCAAGCGCAGTTTGCCATTGATGGCGTGTCCTGGCCGCTGCGGCTCATGTACGATGTGAGCTTCGTCTCCGCCTGGCCGTGTGCGGACGGGCCGCATCCCCTGTTCTACGACTACGAGTACAAGCTTGTCAGGGCGGACGATATCGTTCGCATCCGCAATTGGTCCGGCTTGTACGGGGGAGACGGCCAGCACTCTGGGCCCAGTAGCACGGCCTCGAGCCCTCCACCGGCGGCCGACGCGGTACATGCCGTGGTCGATAGGGATGTCGACGATGAGAAGGTGCTCGTGGTGGACGCGGTAGGGGTTCGTGACAACGAGGTGCTGGCGAGGGCCTGGTGCGCTCACTGGGGGCTCAGCGCAGTCGTGGCGGATATCCACAACACTTGGTATGTCCGACGGATCGTCCATCTCCTTGATTTCCTTCGTGTACGGTTTCACTTGGGCTTTTTGACTGATGACTGACTGACTGGGCCTTGGGGGATACAGCATGGCGTGTGCTATCCGAGAAGCATATGCGGCAACACTAACAGTCGTGATCCTGGCCGAGGACCACTCACACGACAATGACGAATAACGACTTATGAAGTTGACGGATGATACGAAGCAGTACCTTTTTTTTGCTTGATTCTTTCTTTTTTTAAACTCTTCTCACTGTGTTTTTATATGTTGCAACTATTTCGCGGGGAAGGGGGACGAGGCTTGATGAACGATTCGGCAGTCTTGATGCTGTGCTTCACACTTGCAATATGAGCATAAAGGACCAGAACGAGGTTGGTTTGGCGCCGTCTCGTGTGATTGGGCGGGACAGTGCAGGGCCAAGACTGACAGCCGTTGCTTGGACGCCTTGATTTTGATTGCGAAGGAGTCGGCAGTTTTGATTCTGAGAAGGAGATTGGTGTGTGTGTAAGCACAGCATATACTCGGGGACGTTGATGAACTTGCCGTGCGAACTCGAAAACACGCCATCTGTGCTTTTGCCACGGCGATGGCCTCAACGGATTGGGCTGATTGCAGCGATGCTGTGCCATGCGAACGAACGGGCGGCTCCGTGGATACCCGGCGATGGTTTCGATTTGATACGATACGCTTCGATTTGATTGAAATTCTCTGACGCTGTGTTTCTGGACATTTGGCCATAATACGTGATGGGCTTGACATGGGGATGGAGGCTTAGAAGATGTTGAAGTGATTTGCCCGTATTGATGGCCGATGTAGTCCAAGCCATGGACGTCACCTTGCAGGAACGGGGAAGCGATTTACACTCGGAACAACCCTTTTACAGCGGAAGACTGCCTCAAGGGGACTTCTGGGGATGGGGCTGGGGGCGTTTTGTAGGCTGAGACAAAGTGAAATCATGGATCACGTATAAGCCTATTCCATCAGGACCCCTTTTTGCCTTGAAAACTTGTAGCTGTTACGAGTTTTGATGATGATGTTGATGATGAAAAAGCGATCTTTTGTTGATGTGTGTCTGTGCTTCTTTGTGCCGTGTCCTGCCGTCCTGCTCCGTCTTTGGAAGAAGAGGTATCACGGTATGGTCCTATCCGGATTGCATGTCAGAAAAGAAAAAGGTTCGTTACACTACACAACGCCCCTCCCCGTAACACCGTAAGAGGCAGTCCTGATTGTGGTTGTTTGCTGTTACTTTTTTTCTATCTCCTGCCCATGCAATCCGTTGTCTTCTGCTGCTGATGCTGTGTCTCACTTTATCTCCAAGGAATTTCAAGCCTTGGCGAAAAGGAGGGGGAGAAGAGAGGAACAGACGAAAGAAGAAAGGCCAGGTTTGTTGGAATAGAGAGACGGGTCGTAATTGGGGCCTTGTGCCCCAGTTGACGTGAGTGGGCTTTTTTGACGTTGTTGTTGTTGTTGTAATGTTGTTCGCCCCGTCGTGGCGGTGATGCCGTGCATGTTTTACGTCTTTCTGGTGAGACATTCGGAGGTTTTCCGCCTCCCGATGACTTCTTGGGGGAAGACAAGAAGCAACGGTCGAGGGCATGTAACATGTACGTAGTTTTGCTTCACCTTTTTCTTTTCGTACGAGTACATTTTGTACGATGGGCGATGAGCAGCAGTGGCGTAACAGTGGAAAAGGTGTGTATAAGAAGGAAGGGGAAAAACTGGCTTTTGGGGGGGGCCGTTGATCAGGGTTCATAGCAAAAGAAGGATATAAGTCTCCATGACTTTCTCTTGTCTGGATCAAAAGCCCATCACTTTACCTTTTTCTTCGAGAATCACAAAATCAACATTTTACGAAAGCACAATCACAACTTATCTAAGCATTAGTTGAGTTGCCCTCATCATGCCGAACCGCCTGTCGGGCTCCTTCAAGACCGCCCTGGTCGTCGCCGTGGGCGAGTTCTGCGGCACCTTCATGTTCCTGCTGCTCTCCTTCATGGGGGCGCAGACGGCGCTCAACACCTCCGGGGGGTTGCTGGACGCCTCCACGCTGCTGTACATTGCGTCGTCGTTTGGGACTGCGCTGGCGGTCAATGTGTGGGTGTTTTATCGGGTCACGGGAGGGATGTTTAACCCTGCAGTAAGTGATCTTCTCTTTCTTCTCCTTCTCCTTCTTCTTCTTCTTCTTCTTCCTCTTCATCACCATCCTCCTCCTCCTCATCATCAATTGCCCCCCCCTTGAGCCCTTACCTGGATAGCTGTGATGTATGGAACAACATGCTGACGACGGCGCATCAGGTCACTCTGGGCCTCGTCCTGGTCGGAGCCGTCAAACCCATCAGAGCGCTGTACATCTTCCCAAGCCAGCTCATCGCCGCCATCGCCGCCGCCGCCGTGACGGACGGCCTCCTCCCCGGCGCCCTGGGCGTGACCAACGGCCTGGGCAGCGGCACGAGCGTCGTCCAGGGCCTCTTCATCGAGATGTTCCTGACGGCGCAACTGGTGCTGACGGTGTACTTCCTGGCCGTGGAGAAGCACCGCGCGACGTTCCTCGCGCCCGTGGGCATCGGCGTCTCCGTCTTCATCGCCCACATGGCCGGCACCAACTTCACCGGCACCGGCATCAACCCCGTGCGGTCGCTGGGCCCGGCCATCGTGACGGGCCACTACCATGGCTACCACTGGATCTACTGGCTGGGCCCCTGCCTCGGCGCGCTGCTCTCGTTTGGCGTCTACAGCCTGCTCAAGGTGCTCGAGTACCAGATTGCGAACCCGGGCCAGGACGCCGGCGACCCGGAGGAGGCCAACGAGGAGGCCCTCGCCGCGGCGGAGATGGGCACCGAGGGCCTCGCCATGTTCAGGAGCAGGAGCCGGAGCGGCAGCACGGCGCCGGGCGGCGTGGGACTCAGGAAGGACCTGCGGCGGGGGTCCGCAGCAGACGGGGGGAGGCCCGTCAGTGCGGCCGAAGCGGTCTGAAGCTCTCTCTCTCTCTCTCTCTCTCATCGCGAGAGACTTGTGTGTGTCTTTTTTTCTCTTCTTGCATGGGGCGGCTCTTTGTGACAAGTTATGCTGTTCTTCCCCAGTCTGTGTCACGCAAGGAGAGACATGGCGGCTTTTGTGCTGGGTGCACCACAAACGGCTGGTGGTTGATTGCGGGCATCCGTTTTAATTCGTGCTGGAGAGGGGACGTGGGAGGTGAGAAGTTGTCACACATACATATCGAATATCTAGGTATATTCCAGCCAAGTTATTGTTAGCCCATCTATTATATCTCACCAAGTTACACACCGCAATGGGAGCCACCACAGAGGCTACATACATACATACGAGCTGCTCCATCGTGCGCGTGGGGTGGCAGAAGGTCGTCGGACTTCCGATATCATTACGCAGAGAAATCTGCCTTCGTTCCTTGTTTCTCGAAAGAAGAAAATAAGCCACCAGGGGCTGCAAAGAACGCTTGCGGCCAGCCGGGCCCCGGAAAAGCGGAGGGGGAGGGAGGAGAATTGATGGATTTATCGCTAGGCAGCGATTTAAGGAACAGTAGAGGGGTGGGGGAGATCGGGAGTGCGAGGAGAAGAGAAGAACTTGGAAGTTGGGAGAGGAAGAACTATCGTGAAAGGTCCAGTTTTGGAGAGGGCCTGGTGATGGAGGAGAATTTTCAAGAGTGGATGCTGGGAACTTTTCTGTCTCGTTTCATTGCTTGATGAGGCTGGTTTGCTCGTATGTTGTCTTGCTTGCACTTCTTTTCTTAGATACTCGTCGATTCATGTTCATGCCATGCCTTCCGGTTTGCACAGATTCACATACTAGCACATTAACAATCACGAGGATCCCGTTCCGGCAGATCTTGTTCTTAATTTATAACATCTTTCTAATTGATTTTACTTCCATCACATCCGTTCCGAGCCCGCCCAGTGGCAAGTCGATCGCCATCATCGCCAGAAATGCTTCCTCGTTGAATGGAACCTGAAGTGATGTGCAGCAGGTTGCGCCCCATCAGCGCTGTAGTTTAGGGGAGTTTGGGGTCCCTGTGGCGGGGCAGCCGGGGCCTGACGACGGACGGGGGGGGCACCTTTAGCGGCTAAGAAATGCTGGAGCCTGCTGCTGGGTCCGTCCATCGCCCATCTGATCATTGATTCCCGTCGACAACCTGAACTCGAACGCTGCAGCATCCGCCCCAATTGGCTGGCGAGGTTGCGGCCAGAGAACGGAGGTGGGCGTCTCTTCCAGATGACGCTGCAGACACGCCCCTAGGTCCGGTCAGTTCGGGTCCAGTCCGTTTAACAGAGCGGTGGGGGTTTCGGCTTTGCGGTTGTCAGTCCGTCAGCCCTCTTCTTCCCCTCGATAGTTCAACGCGGCCGTCTTCCTCCTCTTCATCTCAACTAGTTTGTGGCTTGCTCTAGAGGCCCAGATTTACTCAAACCCTTGGATTCTAGCCACCAGCGTCAGCGGAGGAGACAGCCGGAAGCAACGAGATCGGACGGTCGCCATGTACGACAACGGGTACAATAACAAGCCGCTGAGGCCCATGGAGTAAGCCGCTCTACCTCGTCTGCCCTTCTTTTCCTCCTCCTTCATACCTAATTTCCCCTCCGGCCATACACGCGTCCTATCCTTCTTCTCAATTCTTCACTTCATCAATAGCAACATAGCAACATAGCAACTCGCTAATCGTTCAATTTCGACACAATGTCCAGGCCTGCCAATGTTCAGGTATGCGACATACCCCGCCATCCAATCCCGAGACGAAGAGCTATCAAACTGTACAACTCCATACACGAGAGGGGGATTGATAGAGCTGAAGCTTCCTCAATACCATTCATTGGACCGGAAAAGAAATGGCAGAGCTAATATCTGCTGCTCCAGGACCACTACATCGGCATAGACGTCGGTACCGGCTCTGCCCGCGCCTGTATCATCGATGAGACCGGTGACATCAAGGCTTTGGCCTCGGAGAACATCAAGCTGTGGCAGCCCGAGAACGGATACTACGTATGCATAGCCGCCTCGCCTCCGATTGGCTCTTCCCCAGATGGCTTTCAATTCTGACTTACAGCGTGCTTCGTCTCCAGGAACAATCCACAACAGACATCTGGAAGTGCATCTGCGAATGCGTGCGCCGCGTCGTCCAAGAGTCTCTAGTCAACCCCAGCCAGATCAAGGGCATTGGCTTCGATGCCACCTGCTCCCTGGCCGTCTTTTCCAACGATACCGATGAACCCATCCCCGTCACCGGCCCCAACTTCGCCAATGATGGCAACGACCGTAACGTCATCCTGTGGCTCGACCACCGTCCGGTTGAGGAGACGGCCAAGATCAACGCCACCGGCCACAAGCTGCTCAAGTATGTTGGAGGCAAGATGAGCATCGAGATGGAGATCCCCAAGGTTCTGTGGCTCAAGAACAACATGCCCCCGGAGCTGTTCGAACGGTGCAAGTTTTACGATCTTGCCGACGCTCTCACGCACCTGGCCACCGGCAACGAAGCGCGGAGCTTCTGCAGCACCGTCTGCAAGCAGGGCTTCGTCCCCGTAGGCGTGGATGGCAGCGTCAAGGGCTGGCAAGAGGACTTTTACCACGAAATTGGCTTGGGAGACTTGGTCAAGGACGATTTCAAGCGCATGGGTGGCGTCGACGGGGTGGTGAGCCTATTTTCTTTTGCAGTCTTTGCGACTGTGGCCTTCTTTTCACTACCTTTTGGCTTTCATCAGTGGCCACGATTTCATCCCAGCCCGAGTCCACTTCGCTAATTCATTCCTGTACAGAACGGAAAGTATGCCAGCGCTGGCGAGTGCGTAGGCACCCTCAATCGCCTGGCCGCCTCTCAGCTTGGCCTGCCAGAAGGCATCGCCGTCGGAAGCGGTGTCATTGATGCCTATGCAGGCTGGATCGGCACTGTCGGTGCCAAGGTCGAGCTGACCGAGGGTGAGCTCAGAGCTGATGCTCCTCACAACGACGTCACCCAGGCCTTTACTCGCTTGGCCGCCGTCGCGGGCACTTCAACATGCCACCTGGCCATGTCCAAGAATCCCGTCTTTGTACCCGGTGTCTGGGGCCCCTATCGAGACGTGCTGATTCCCGAGTTCTGGATGGCCGAAGGTGGCCAGTCTGCGACGGGCGAGCTTCTGCGACACATGCTCGACATTCACCCCGCGTACAACGAGACCATGGCTCTGGCCAAGGCCGAAGACAAGCACATCTACGACTTCCTCAACGCCCATCTTGAGTACCTGGCCGAGAAGCATCACGCTCCAGCCGTCTCCTACCTCGGCCGCCACCACTTCTTTTACGGTGATCTGTGGGGCAACCGCTCACCCATCGCCGACTCCAACATGAAGGGCTCCATGATTGGTCTTGACAGCGACAAGAGCACCGACAACATGGCTCTGTGGTACTATGCCACCATGGAGTTCATCGCCATGCAGACGCGCCAGATCATTGAGCAGATGAACAAGGCTGGCCACGAGATCTCGTCCATTTTCATGTCCGGTTCGCAATGCCAGAACCCGATCCTGATGAACCTACTGGCCACCGTCTGCAACATGCCCGTGTTGATCCCCAGGTACGTCAACGCGGCTGTTGTCCACGGAGCTGCCATGTTGGGCGCCAAGGCGGCCAGCCACAACCGCAACGACGGCTCAGAGCCCGAGTCGCTGTGGGACATCATGGACCGCATGAGCAAGCCCGGCCGGCTGGTGCAGCCAGGCACCGACGCCGGCGAGAAGCTGCTGCTGGATGCCAAGTACGAAATCTTCCTCGACATGTGCAACGCGCAGCAGGCATACCGAAAGAAGATTGACACTGCCGTTGAAAAATGGGGGCAGCTGTTCGATGCCGATGACGACCAGTGAACTGCAGCATGTGGAAGACGGATTGGGATTTGCCTGGGATATGTATGATAATGAATTTTTGCGCCAGTTAAGTACTTATAGAGAAAAGTCAAATAAAGCGAGTCATGAACATGTAATTTACTTATCGTGATATGATGCGTGATAATGCCTGGGGAAAAGCTTGGACGCAAAGGCGATTCACGCTTGTCGGTGTTGATTGAGCACGCAAGGCCAGCATCTAGGGTCGCCCGTGGCTGCATGTGATTGGCGAGAGGCATTTAGCCTCATCGCTGACCAGCGCCACTTGATTGGCCAAAGCTGTCTGTTCCCCAGTCAGCTCCTCAGCCTCGCCAATCCAGGTTGTAAATTTCCAAAAAGGTGGGCAGACGCGCAGCTAGCCGCAACATCTTTGTCCCTGCCAAACGCGAGAGCGCTTCAGCCTTTTCTACGCCCGCTCGCGGAGGCTCTTCTTTTCCGCTCTTCAGAGTCGTTCTTTTTTTCTTTTTCCTTCACTTCGCTTCCACAGTTACCCTTCGATTGACCCGTATTCCATCACACCACCGCGATGTCACTTTTCGGGCAGACGACTGGCACGTCGCTGTTTGGCCAGCCCGCCCAGCAACAACAACAGCAGCAGCAGGGCACCACCACGTCGACGCCCGGCACGGGAGGCGGACTGTTTGGAGGCGGAGGAGGCCTCTTTGGCGGCGGACAGCAACAGCAGCAGAAGCCCGGGGGCCTCTTCGGACAAGCGCAAACCCAGCAGAGCACGCCTCAGACTGGCGGTGGTCTGTTTGGGTCCGCCGCGACGGCACAGCAGCCGAGCTCAGGCGGCTTATTTGGGCAGACGACGGCTCAGAGCCAACAGACTCCCGCGACCGGTGGTGGCCTCTTTGGGAACCAACAGAATGCCGCACAGCAGCAGAAGCCCTCGCTCTTTGGTGGCGGTGGCACCACCACGACTGCGGCAAAGCCATCGCTCTTTGGAGCCACGACGACGGCTCCAGCTCCGGCTCAGCAGAGCAGCGGCGCGCCTTTTTCCAGTACCCTTCTTGGAGGCGGCCAGGCGCTCACCACTCAGAACAACAACGCGACGACGACCTCTGCACCTCAGCCCGCCGGCGCCTACTTCGACAGCCTGTTTGCAAAGACAGTCAAGGCCGGCGTCGTCAACTCCAACATGGAGGATCTCCCCAGTCTGGAGCTGGGTCTGGGAGACTTGCGCCATCGACTGAGGAAGCTGCAGTCGAAGCAGACTGAGAGGGCCGAAGGAAAAGCTCACTACTTGCTCGCCGCCTCGGGCGTGGACCCCAGCACGGCAGCCAAAGACCTCGGCTTGCTCGACCTCCAGGGCACGCGGACCGAACGACCAACACACGGCTTCGCCCCGGCCGACGTCGACGTTGAAACGTACCTGTCGAACCTGCAGACGAAAACGACGCTGAGCATGATTCAAGACGGCCTCGAGCGGTCACTCCGCGATTTCGACAACTTCTTGGAAGACAATGTGGCTATGGAGTGGGACGCGCAGCGGAAGCGCATATATCAGCACTTTGGCATCAAGCCTCGCGAGACCTCGACCACGGCGGGTCGGGAGGCTCAGGGCGGCTTCGGACGATCCCGACGAAAGTCGCAAGCAAACATTCCCCGCGACTCTCGCAGCAGCGGCTTTGGCAGTTCGACTTTCCAGCGCTCTGTCATTGGAGCCCCATCCAGAATCGGAGCCCACCAGCCAGAGTTCTCCGACGTCGACCGGTCTGCAGACGGCGCTGGCAAGTCTAGGAACGAGGATCAAGCCCTTCGCGAGCGCCAGTCGAAGCTCGCGGAAAAGGTCCGCAGCCTCAATGCTTCGCGTCTGCTTGGTCGGCCGTATCCCATATTGGCAGAGCTGGCTGAGGTCGAGCAGAAATCGCACGAGCCCCACGCACCTCACGTCGTCGAGGCTTACCGAGCCATGATTGAGATTGTTGGCGAGGATGCCGAAGCCGAGACGGCCCTCGGCAGCAAGACGGCCAAGGAACGCCAGTTTGCCGAGATGTACTTGGACGAGAACCCCAACTCTCAGCATTCAGTCACCATGAGGAGGCGTATCCTGAGCGGCGCCAACGCTTTCCTCGAGAAACAGTTCCTTCGCGAGGTGGAGTCCCTCATTGCCAAGCATCCTCACGAGGCCAAGCTTGGCGGTCTACCCGACATCACCAGCAAAATCAAGGCATATATCCGTCTCCGGTCGGCTAGGAAGGACCTGGTTCCGGATAACACAGAGCTTCAGCAGATCCATGGCGAGTATGTCTGGGCCATCGTCTTCTACCTCCTTCGATCTGGCCACGTAAACGAGGCTGCCAAGTACGTCAACGACAACAGCAATCACTTCCGAGGCATCGACCGCACGTTCTCCACGTACCTCAACAACTACGCAGCCAGCGAGGATCGTAGAATCACTAACAGGAAGCTGCTCGATCGCTGCACCAACGAATACATCCAGCGGTCCCGCAACGCCCCGGAGAACACAATCGATCCCTTCCGCATGGCCTGCTACAAGGTCATTGGTCGAATCGAGCTGAACAATCGCAATCTGGACGGCCTCAACACGGACATTAATGACTGGATTTGGCTCCAGTTCAACTTGGCCAGAGAGGGCGACAAGGCGCTGGAGATGGCGGGAGAATCGTACGGACTGGCGGATCTACAGGCCAGCATCAGGGAGATTGGCCAGAAGCACTTCCCCAAGTCTCCCTCTGACGATAACAACGGCAGTTGCGGCATGTTCTTCTATCTCCAAGTCCTGTCGGGCATGTTTGAGGACGCCATCGCCTACCTCTACCCCTTTTCGTACGTGGACGCGGTTCACTTTGGCCTCGCCCTCGAGTTTTACGGTCTGCTCCGCCCCAGCGACCCGATGTCTGCCTCCAACGACTTGCGCACACACAGCATCAAGGGCCTTCCGCAGATCAACTTTGGCCGCATGATCGGCTACTACACCCGAGACTTCCGGGCTGCCGATGTGGTCTCCGCCGTTGACTACCTCACGTTGATCTGCCTCAATGCGGACCTCGAAGGAGAAGCCGGAGCGCGCCACAGCGGCCTCTGTCACGAGGCACTGCGGGAGCTGGTGCTGGAGACTCGAGAGTTCAGCAAGCTCATTGGAGATATCAGACCGGATGGCCGCCGCATCTTGGGCGTCATCGAGGGTCGCGGTCCGCTGATAGGTCTTGATGGGCAGGATGACTTCGTCAACACCGTCACGCTGCAAGCCGCCAGCTTTGCTGATGAGAGCGGCCGAACAACGGATTCGGTGCTTCTCTATCACCTTGCGGGCGAGTATGATGCGGTTGTGGCCATCGTGAGCCGCGCTCTCAGCGAAGCCATCTCTCTGGAGATTGGAGAAGACCCGATGCGCTTGATGCCCGTTAAGCCGAGGGCTGGCGGCAGCCAGGAGGCAGAACAGGGCGGCAGCCTGAGCCTGGCAGCCATTGACGACCCTGTCGAGCTGGCCAAGACGATGATGACCATGTACGAGAGGGACGCCATGTTCTACAGGAACATCCAGGACCAGAACAAGGTTGCGTGCCGCGTTCTGCTCGAGATGAGCGACATTAAGAGCTTGGTGGAGGCCAGCCAATGGGCTCAATGCCTCGACGTAAGTTGACACATCTTTTACCTTTACAGTCTCATGAAGATCACTGACAGGAAGCCTAGAAAATTCGTGGTCTGGACATCCTACCCCTCGAAGCAGGCGGCGATGCCAGCACAATCCGCGCCTACGCCTCCAAGTTCTCCAGCCTCTCACAACCAGTCTCCATCAATGTGCCCAACCTGATTATGTGGACCATTATCAGCTGCGTCAGGCAACGAGAGCAGCTGGTCAACGGGCAGTTCAGCGGCAACGAGGGCACCAGGAAGATGATGGTGGAGCAGTTGAAGCAGATGATTCTGGATTTGACGACGTACACGAGCCAGCTGCGGTACCGGTTCCCGCCGCATCTGCACGAGGCCTTGGCGAGGGCGTCTGCGGAGTGATTTGTCTTTGTCTTGTGAGACGAGGGCGAGAAGGGGGGAACTGGAGACGCTTTTGAAGGAGAGAGCTTTGATACCTTTGGTAATACAGAATGATTTTAGAGTGCGAGGCAGCCTTGAATGACACTTACTTGTGCTGCGAACAGAAAGCTAGCCCAGGAGAGAATTGCTGGTCGTTATCGAAGCCAACTTGATCAATTCTTTTCCTTATGGTGGCTTACAACTTGATTAGCAAGGCTCTTTTACGTGCCGTTATAAGGTTAGTACTTGATACGCAGTCGGTTAGGTACCTTATAGATGTACCAATGTACAAGTTCGTTGAGAGAGAGCAGACGCGGCAAGAGCAAGAACCCATCGTGTTACCTTCCCAAAGAATATGTATTCGGTACTTTCCTTTGTCACCAAGAGAAGTCCAATTTCTTCCTTTGCTCTCTTCTCTCATTCTCTTCCTCTCTGACCATCTCTCATACAAGAACTTTCTTCTCTCGTACACTCCTTTGTGACGACGGGCCACTCATTGTGATCTAGACGCCAGTGATTCGGCAAATTGGACCGACGAACGGCTACACCAGACCATCAAATGCCGACATGGAGCTGCTGCAGCCGTGTGTGGCATGCCGCCGTCTCACGGCATTAGCACCAGACACCAAGTCCCGGCATTGGACCAGGTCTGGCAGCCTCTTCCCGCTTTTGTCCAGCATCCGGCCGACTGACTGGTCCACGAGCGAGCCTAGTTCGAGCACGCCCTGTGCTGTGTGTGCCCGTACGAATCTGGGCAGGAAGCCATCGAATCTGGAAGCTCGAGATGCCCGAGACACGCCAGACTCGATCCCTAGCTTCACCAGCCATCAGCCCGCTCAAACGGCTCGCGCTGCACGTGCTGGAGCCCGTCGCTAGTGCGCTGCCTGACTCGCAACATGACTCTGGCCACCCGCTCGCCTGATTCAGCAAGGGCCTCTTCATAGGCCAGCCGCACGAGCCGGAGATCGAGGGGAGGCCAACCATTCCATCTCCACCAACCACCCCCCATGCAGCCCGTCCTCCGTCCTTCGCGCGACGCCCCTTGTCTTGCTTTGAGCGAAGAGCGACACGGCCTTCGGAAAGGACCAACGGACCGCAGAGGCAATTAGACGACTATTGTCTTTAAGCTTTTAGGAGCGCAGATTGGCCTGCGCTTCTGGCAACTAGAACAGTTCTAGACCAAAGATCCGGAGGCGAGTGGAGAAAGCTCCGATCCTCCCTGGCTGCCAAGCAGCACCCGCACGCATCCCAATCGGCTCGCTCAGCCCAGCCTCGCGACGGCGATTGTTGTCGAGTTCGGCATACGCACACCAACACACACACCGGCGTACACAGGTACCACGGGAACTTCCGCAGGATTGCCGAGGCCGGGGGCATCGCGCTATTGGGAGTGGACAGGCTCCGACGCTTCGGCGGACGCGGAGGATGGTTGGCCGGCTCTAAGTGGGCAGTTTTCCGAATACCACCGCACGTTTCACATGGATCTCGGATCCGTCAGACGGGGCGGCTTAAGCCCCGGAGCAGTAGACTCGGCAGGGAGCGGCAGCCCTCTCGCCATTGGCGAGGTCATCAAGCATGAGGCTGAGACCGCTGGCCCCTCCCTGGCGGCAGCAACGGCGATGCCCAATGGCGGACAACCGGCAGGGTCCTCCAGTGCCGCGGAGGCCATGGAGACCACGGACGCAGAAGAATTGGAAAATGTGACCAAGAAGAGGAAAACGGGCGCAGGAGGTAGAGGTGTTGCCAACTTGACGCCGGAGCAGCTGGCTAAGAAAAGGGCAAATGGTGAGTGCTTGCCAGTACCTGTTTTCTAACCCCCCCCTCCTTAATCGTCGTATATGGCGTAGGCTTGTACAGCTTCCGTCCTCAAGTCTACCTGATCCACGATCTATATGTCACATGCTTCCCTGCTCTGACTGCATAAGAATGCTGGTTGGCCAAGTGGCTCGTCCGTTGCTGTTTTGTTTCTTCCCCCTCCCTTCCCTGTGTCAAAGCGTCTTCTCGACCATCACTCCTCGCTATTAGCGTTGACGAACTAATGTGTCATCCACCCTTCGTTGTACAGACCGCGAAGCGCAACGTGCCATCCGAGAACGGACTAAGAACCAGATTGAGAGGCTTGAGCGTCGCATCCAGGAGCTGGAAGCTCAGAAACCCTACCAGGATCTCCAAGTCGTGGTGCGGGCTAAGGAGGCGATTGAGGCAGAGAATGTCGAGATCAAGAGGCGACTGGCCAGCATCATTGGCATGCTGCAGCCTCTCGTTGGGCCAAGTGAGTTTGCGACCTTGGAATTCCCGTCCCCTTCACCTAGTAATCCAACAACACACGCAGATGTCCCCGGCATAGCCCCTACCCTCCCATTCACCGCAGCAGCACCTATATCTGTAGGCACAACAAGTAGCATTGCCTACCATCATGCAGCATCCGCAAGTTCTGCATCACCCACAGGCATAATGGTTGAACCTGTTCGCCAGGCCGCTCCCCCACCATTGCAAAGCTGGCAAAGTGCCAGCAGCAACACACCACCGGCCCCACGACCCGCCGGTGTTGCCGAGGCCATCGATGAAGGGACCCAGGCTCTATTAGAGCGTCAAAGCCAGTCTCTTCGGCACGGCTTAGACTTTGAGCAGGGCCGCTTCGATCTCAACGTCGTAATCGACCATACGCAGGCGATACCAAAGCTCCAAAGGGGTCTGAACGGTGCACAAGACTCGGGTGAATACCACCATGTCCCAATGAAGCACGACTGGACGCAAGTGAATCGGGAGTATGCACCGCAGGCTAGACTTACTGCGTGGTCGTCACCCATCCAGATCCCAGCAGCTGTTTCTGACTCGACTCCGGCAACTGTGCCACCTCTTGGCATCACTCGGCAGAGTACAATGACGAGCCAATCGGGGACTGCTTCCGGGCCAGGCTCAGACAGCAGCGCTCCTATTAGTATTCCAGCAGTCCCATATCCGAACGCTGGGCGGGCTGCTGTTCTGGAACCTCCTCCCCTCGAATATGCACGTCCCTTACGCAACTGCAGTCCTACCTGTCCGCTTGACGCCCTGCTTCTCGACTTCCGCAGCGAGCGCCACCAGCGGGCTGCCGAAGGTTTCCAGCCGCATGAAGTGGCTGGCCCTCGGTACCCATCTGTTTCCTCCCTGCTCAATCCCGAAAATAGCAAATACAGCCATCCGGTATCGAAATTCTTTACAGACATACTTACCAAATTCCCCGAGGTATCCAGCCTCCCCGAGAAAGTGGCCATTCTCTACCTCATGTTCCTCGTCATGCGATGGCAGATATCTCCAACCAAGGAAAACCTGGAACGCCTGCCGGAATGGATCCAACCATTGCCATGCCAGTTCGAGGTGCCGCATGCCGCCTGGATGGACTTTCTCCCTTACCCCGAGATGAGAGAGAGGGTCATCAAGGCCAAGAACCCCGACGTCTTTTACTTTGACAACTTCTTCCTCCCGTTCACGTCCACGCTGACCCTCTCTTGGCCTTATGAGGAGGCACATACCCTGCTGAGGAACCCGGACTCGGACGAGATTATGATTAACCCCGTGTTTGAGAGCCACATGCGCAACTTGAACAACTGGAAGCTGGGGAGGATCTTTGCAGACTCCTTCCCCATGCTGGCTGATACGGCGTTTTATCGCACTGATGGAGTTGGGCTGGAAACTACTGCAAAGTGAAGCCCTACAAAACATTGGAAAGGGAGGTGTGTTGGGAGAGGGGGTGAAAGAGACGGGGTTGCGGTGTTGAAGACGACTGATTTGGCGTGGACCTTGGTAGAGCATTCATAAGGGGATCGCACGTATAGACCCCCTCTGCACCTTTACACAGTAGTAGAAGGCTTAATATTTAGTGGCAAATGTAATGTATTGTATATAAACTCATACACGAGCTCGATCAAGCTCCTGATTCCATCCCGAAACTAATATAACCTCCCTAGTCTATCGTGTTACCAGAAAAGAAACTCAAGTCCCATCCGTCCGTCTTGTCCGTAAGATATGTGAAAAGCAACGTAATGTACATTTGATATGAACGAGAACGAGACGGTTGTATATCAAAACGACCAAATATCCTGCCACAAGAACTCCTAAACCCCGAAAACGACTTTTTTTCTGGTGCGTAAAAATGCGTAAACTCGTGAGTCTCATATCGCAGACGTCTGCAGATCAATCTTTCTAAGAACATTGAACCGCTTCATTAGGACCCCCATTTGCCTGGGAAAAAAAAAGAAAAAAAACAGCAGTCTTTGGTGCTGCGCAGAATAAGAAAGACCCGTGGGGGAATCTTTTGAGTTTCTCCCATATGTGAACGAATTTGAAAAGAAAAGAAGAAACAAAAAAGCGTCAGGGGGGAAAACCCTCCCAAGTCCTTGGTAACTATATGAGAGGCAAACCAATATTCCTCTCGTTATCGATATCAGAGGGCCGAAAGGTATGCAGCTGACGAGATAACGGGGAGAAGACATGAATCGAAGAAGAGTCCACGGACGTGAAAATCCCTGCCTGCTTGAAACGGAGACCGTGGGGTTGGCTGCACGCTTCCGGGAATCGAATATATTGAACGACCTTTGAAGAAATGAATATCGCAGATGAAAAAGACTCAGCCGTGGGTGAAAACGAGAATACTGGTATCTATGCCGGAAAGCGAGATATCGAGACGACAAGAAAGAAGGATGTGATAAGAGTGTCCGCAGAAAACAGTCGTCTCGGGAGAAGAAAGGTATCAGAGGGTACGTAGAAACAAGATCCTTCTCGTTGGAACTCTTGGCACGAGAGGCAAATCGAGAAGAAGAAAGGAAAATTTGTAGAGACCAGGCGCCTATATAGCCCCTGAAGGAAGTGGAACCGTAACCGAGAGAGCAGCGTCATCGGCTTCACTCCTAGTCGCCATCGTCGGCCGGCGCACAACCAAACTTCTTCAGATACGCGCCGTCAGCCATGTACAGGTTCGGAAGCCTCTCTCCGGGCAGCGTCTGGAACATCATCGCCTTGACAGGGTTCTTAGCCCGGAATCTCTCCAAGTCGGTGCCGGAGCGCACAAGGCCGCCTGAGCTCAGCGAAAAGAGCTTGACCGTGGAATCGTCCTGCGCCGAGGCCACGAGGTTGAGCTCGGGGCATACGTCCCAGCCAATGTCAAAGCGTGCCTGGTTGCGATACTCGGGGAACTCGAGCACCGGAGAAGACGTGTTTCGACCTGCAGCGTCTTCCTCGTCAGATTGGACGAAGCGTGTGTCGTAGACAGACATGCAGTCCCGTAGACCAGCGACGATGACCTGGTGAGGGTTGATGCTGCGGACGTGTGCAATAGAAGAGCCGTGCTTAATGGAGCTCCATTCGACAGCCGGAGCTCTGAGATCACTAACCCATACGCGAGGCTGCCGGCCGCCAGCGAACAGCACATTATGGTTGTCGACCTGGAAATCCTGAGAGAAGATTTCAAGGGGCGTTTTCCGTGGCCGGTTGAAGCGTCCCCGGCGGGTAGGCCTTTCTGCCCTTGCATCAAGGCCAAGATTGGGGAGACGAGGGTTGAGCCAGCGAGGCGTCTCATCGGAGTGAACGCTCATGATCCCATCAGATGTGCCTACCACGCAAAGGAGGTTTGAAGCGGCGGGCGCAGGCGTACTCTTGTGGGCGAAGCACCATCTCCGTCCAAGTGGTATTGCCATATGGTCAACATCTGTCATTCCAGTGTCAGTCGATACTTATACGGGTAATTAGGCGGGCATCCAGAAGGTGGCTTCTCAAGAGAGGTCACCATCTGGAAGCGAAAGGGGCACGACGTGGGGGGGGGAATAATATCCGTACCCAAGCTCCAGTTCGATCCACTGGAAACGTCGTCCAGAGGAGGACGGAAAATAACCAAGGCGCCGCCGTCGTTTCGCTCTGACGAAGTGAGGAGCATTCTGTTGGACGGTTGGTGGTATTGAATAGACGACGTATTAGAACAATGAACAAGATTGTAAGTCAGCGGTGAGCCTCCTGTTTGTCCACCCGGACGAGACCGCACAGCCGCCTCTGTGGGTTCACGCCAGTGAGGTTGAATCGTCGTCAAGCTGCATTGCACCCGCCATCAGCATCACAAGTATCAAGCGGGAGTTCTTAGACGGGGGGGCAGATACTCACTTCTCGTCCTCATTGCCCGTCTCAATGTAGGTTCCAACAATAAACTCCGAGTCCAGCGCTACAACCCACTTTGTTACCATTCACTTGCCCCATCAATGACCATCTGCAGTAGTGAAGAAGAAAGGGACATGACTTACCCGAGTATGCTATAGCCGACTTTGAACCGCTCTCTTTGCCAATGATGTGAAAGCACGACATGTGCGGATGACCATCCAGCTCCCAACTCATCCCAAACGAGATCTTGCCCTTGGCAGTCACCTCCCGAGCCCACGCAGCGGCGAGCACGTCCCCATTGCCAGGCTTGCCCCGGCCAGCCTCCGCCATCCTCTGCACCTCTGTCTCGCGAGCAAGCAGCCCCGAGGTAACGGCATCACGGGTCAAGACACTGCGCTTAACATGGTTCTTTGTGAGCTGCTGCCTCTTGGCTGCTTGCTCTGCGACTTGGGACTCATGTTCACGACGCTTCACAGAAGATGAGGACCACTGCGCCGCGGATGGAGCGGTTTGAGACTTTTCAATCTTAAAGTATCTCTTTCTCTCCGGGTCTGAAACTCAAGAATCAGCTATTGAATGACTGCAACTGTGATTGGTGATGGAGAGATGCAAACAGTTGAAATCAAAAAGAAAAAGAAAAGTCGTTCATACCATAGTAGAACCCCGGTAACACCGGGGGAGTGCCATTCATGGCGACGCAAGGTCTCGTTACGACAAGGAATCTGCTTAAAGGCAAGGTATGCGGCCTCTTTAAGAAAAAAAATATGAAAAGCAGGAGAGTAGAGCGGGTGACGATTCGTTTGCTTTGAGCGTTGTCAAGATTTGAGATTATCTGATGTAAAAAGATCAAAAAGAGCGTCAACAGGCGGAGTAGAAGACGAAAGAGTTGTTGATGTTTTCGATGGGTTGGTTGATAGGCATTCTCTTGTTGAGGCAACCTGATAGCGCAATGAATCACATCACGTGACGTGCGATGTAAGAGGCTCATTCACCAAACTCGGCGAGCGACGACAAAGGATGCAGAGAAAACTCGTCACAAGATGCGCAGATTCGGGTCAAGGCAGTATTTTAGAAATATTCTTTGTTTTTATTAATTCCCAACTCATAAACTCAATCCTCATGCATCAATCAATTATTCACATTAACAAGACATGTGCCCGTAACATCAGGTTCACTAGAACACACATCAAGGTGACATTTTACTTGTCTTCATTAGCTGTCTATCAGACCATCATAGGGGTATGAAAAGTTGCCTCTCATCCGCTGCAGACGAGTCCATCTTCAGATACGACTCATACATAAAATTTAAACATGGAAAACGGAAACATGCAGACCAACCGGCCGGCGGGTATGTAATAGAGCGTATTTACTGAGACTTTTCGTGCTGGGTGGAAACACGCTGCAGAGAAACGACTGTAAAGACGAGTTAGCAAAATGCGTCGAGCGCAAGCTGGGTACTAGGAGTTGAAACTTACCAAAGTCCTCCAATGATCGCTGCTTCTGGTTCTGCTTGGGCGACTTGCCGTGCATGAGGTTGTCGAAGCCAGTGCTTCCCTGGAGGAAGTAGTAGAGACCACCCATGATGGCGAAGATACCGAAGGAGAAGATCCAGATACGGACAACAGCGACAATGCTGGTGTCCTCGCCAATGAACCAACCGAAGACACAGAACAGGGTAGCAATGATGTCGACGACCAGGATGGCACCGCTGAGCTGCCACGAGGGGATGGAAGACCAGAAGGGACCGTTGGCACGGGTAATGAAGATGAGCCAGTTCTCAGTCAGGGAGATCTCAAGGAAGACGACCTCATCAATGTTACCAAAGTTCTGGACGATACCGCCGTTCTGGCCACCAGCGTACATGGTGGTGAGGGCAATCCAGGTACCGATGGCAAGGACGGTGCCGAGAAGAACGGACATACCCCAGAGCTTGGGCAGGTTCCACTTGACGGGAGTCTGGGAGTAAGGAGCGTTGTCGTAGGCAATGGCCAGGGTGGCGATATCGGCAAAGATGGCAATGAAGACGACCAGCTCAATGTTCAGGGAGCGGTTGAGGATGGCGATCCAGAGACCCAGGAAAATCTCCATGTGCAGGGACAGAGCGATACGGTAG